AAGTCTCGGAGGCGAGACTGGAAAAGAAGGAAAACAACCGCTCCCTTTCCCTCCCCGACGTCGATTCTGAAGGCTGCCAAACCTCCCCCTTCCACCCAGCCAGTTCCCCATGGGAGCACGGAGCCCGTCCTTGCCGTGGCTGCTTCACCTCCCGCACAGGAGAGATTTCAAGCCCTAATTCTAGGAGGGAGGCAGGCGAGACCGTGCCAGGCCAGGATTTGGCCCTGCTGAGAGCACTGGTCACCCAGGCCCCCCTCTGCCTCTCGCAGCCAGGCCCTGGGGGCTCCCAGGCTGCGTTCGGTGGAGGGCAACTCCCTCCACTTTCTACATGCATTCACATGGTTACTAGGACTGTTCCCCCCACTGAAATCGCAGGGAATCGTCTTGATGTTTTTCAACACTGCCCTGGTGAGAAAGTAGAAGAAAACCAGCCCAGGCATCCCTGAAATTACAGGTCTGTTCCAGTTTCCAGATCACATCGGCTTTAAGGAAACGTAGACGATAATTCAGGCTTTCCATGGCGAGAGGCTGCTGTGAGCGCTTCCCTGCCTTGCTCGCTCGTGCCCCAGTCCAGTGTTTTCGTCAGTTCTGGGTGTAATTCAGACACAGCCAACCGTATCACTGCTTTGTGCATTTTTATTTACTTTAGCGTTTTAATAATACATGAGAAAGCAACTTTAAAACCAATTTCAAAATTTAAACAATTTATTGCAAATTTTACATTGCAGCAAATTTTAATCCAGTACACAGCCTTATGACTAGTTACAGATCAGGAAGCAATGGTTACCTGTCTCTGGGGAAAGGGCCAAGTGTGTGTGGGATACAGACAAAAACCCGACCCCTGTGGCTCACTGCTGCCACCAATTGTAGTATTTAAGAGAGCTAAGCAAGGGAGCAGGATCAGGGCTTTATACTGGCATCATGAAATTTGCCTTCTCTTGCTTTGCAGCTGGGAACATGCAATTATGAATCCTGAAAGGAAGCGCAGCAATTATCTGTGTGGTTTCTGTGAAATACGGTCTTTTGAATAAAGAATTGGGGGAAATTTTGAACACGGTGGCTATTGCTTTTATTTCCACTTAATTTCTAGTGAAACTGATTAAGAATGGTCATTACACTTAGGCAGCAATCAATCAGAGAACGTATTTCTGTTCCTTTCTTGGCACCCCAGAGATTAAGATTCCTAAAAATGTAAAGCAAAGGAGAACAAAGCAAACATGATTTAAAAGTTCATCACTTAGTCACAAAGCTCAGAGGCAGAGGAGAGGGCTAGATACGCTTCCCATAAGTGGACATCTCCAACATAAAGATTATACACATAATATTGACCTTTAAAACTGGCCACTAGCTTTACAGTAAAGTCAATAATGAAATAAACTGCCATAGTATGCTATCCAATTAATCATTTAGATTTGTTTCATTAGAGGGACACTTGCCATATACAGTTGATCCCAAAATTTAGGCATTGTAAACCTAAAATGAGCAGAAATTCCCCTATTTTTTTTCCTGTAAAACAATTTGTTAGAAACAATAACTAAGGTTTTCTGAAGGTGCATATGGGAATTTGAAAGCTTAACTAGGGAACTATAAACTACATGATCTATTTTAATCAGATGAGACGAAATGCAAAAAAGAAATATGCATTGAGGAAAGTAAACTAGATTTAAGCTGCTTAATGTCTAATAATTTTAAGATGTAGCAGTGGTATCCGACAGAAAGCTGATTTTTATATTAGGTTTTTTTAAAGTATATGATATGCGACTGACACTGTCCCTTTCCAACGGTGTTGGGCTGTAAACCACAGTAATTCATATTCACATGAACACACACTTTGTAAATGTGAAACATTGGAGATTTAAAAAAAAAAAAAGGAAGCACATGGTATAAAATGATAAAAAAGATTATGCTAATAAAAGCCAAACGGCAGCAGGAACAGCAGCAGCAGCTAGAACTGCTGGATAAGGCGCCGGCGCTGTGAGGTCTTCCGCAGCAGTCGTCTGTAGTCATAGGGATTATCTTCAGTTTTACTCTCTTCCAGGGGGCTTTCTGCAACCCTCGACCTAGGGATTAAGCGCAGAAATGTTTTAGAAATTAAAGTCAAAACATTTACCTTGGCAAACGCTCCTAATTGACTGCTTAACCTCCACCCTTGGGGGAAAAAATAAAAGGAAAAAGAAAAAAAAATCAACTGACTTTGCTAGGCCTCTTCCTGTGCTGCATAAAGCAGGCGCCTCGGAACAAACACATTATATATTAAGAGCAGATGAACACAGAAGAACAACATGTTCTTCTACGAAGGGGACATAATAAAAGGACATAAAAACGTTGAGAACGTGGGGTGCTTTGCAGTAGCATTTGCCCGATGGTTACTGAACCAGATTTTCAGTTGGCGTAAATTTGTTTGCTCTGTTTTTAACCTGCCTGTGGAGCTCACTGTAAGTGTCCATCTCATCTTATTTTTTTTTTCAGATGGCAAGCTGCATTTTGGAAGCCACCTCAGGATGGCCAGAAAAGGAGGCAGTCAAGCTGGTGGCTTCTCTGCAGAAAGCAGGCAGAAAGTTCAGTGCACATCCACCCTATTTAAAACCTAACTGATCAGAAATACAATTTTTAGGTTCTGCTTGTGCTGGTTTTGGCTGGGGCAGAGTTAATTTCTTTCTCAGTAGCTCGTATGGGGCTGTGTTTTGGATTTGTGCTGGAAACAGTGTTGACGATACAGGGACGCTTTAGCTACTGCTGAGCAGTGCTGACACAGAGTCAAGGCCTTTTCTGCTTCTCACACCACCCCACCAGTGAGTAGGCTGGGGGTGCACAAGAAGCTGGGAGGGGACACAGCTGGGACAGCTGACCCCAACTGACCAAAGGGATATTCCACACCATATGACGTCATGCTCAGCATATAAAGCTGGGGGAAGAAGAAGGAAGGGGGGGACGTTTGGAGTGATGGCGTTTGTCTTCCCAAGTAACTGTTACGCGTGATGGAGCCCTGCTTTCCTGGAGATGGCTGAACACCTGCCGGCCGATGGGAAATAGTGAATGAATTCCTTGTTTTGCTTTGCTTGCGTGCGCAGCTTTTGCTTTACCTAGTAAACTGTCTTTATCTCAGCCCATGAGTTTTCTAACTTTCACGCTTCTGATTCTCCCCCGCATCCCACTGGGAGGGAGTGAGCGAGCGGCTGGGTGGTGCTTAGATGCTGGCTGAGGTTAAGCCACGACACTGCTTTAGTTTAATTTGATTTTGGATCAGAGATTTACAGCAGGATGTCTGTCCATCTCATCTGGCACTTGGGAAGCCAAAAACTAGCAGGTAGGCTGAACACCAAGCATTTGTCCCTGCTGCATAAAGATGGGAAATTTTCAGCTATTCATTTTACAAGTTAATTTGGCAAGATTCCATGAATAAAAAAATAGATTTATGTCAAATTTTAAAGTGTATCTTTCTTTTTAAGAATCTTTTGAATGTCAACAAGGATATACAACAATTATTTTTTCCAGTTATTATTTTGTATGAATTACCGCTCAGTAGCTCTTAAAATTGAAGTCCTGCGCTCAGCTGGGTGTCTCTTCTTTCTTGTGGTAGAACTGCTGTCCTTTGAGGTGGAATCAGTAGATGAAATTTCTTGGTAGTAGATATCTAAGTCTAGGACTTTGCTTAGACTGTCAATAAATAAGTACAGTAAGTTAACAGTTCCACTTTTCAATATTATATTCAACATTTAAAAATAAGGCAACCAAATATCATTATTAGTTGTGGTTATGTGTTGAGGATCTAAGGAAAAATATATATAAGCACAAGAAATCAGCCTCTGAAATGTGACTGCTGTACGATGCAGATATTGAGAATTTTGGAATGCTACTTTTAGATGTTCATAAAGCAGACATATATGACTGAAATTGTTTGGGTTTGCCATTATACTCAATGGAGAGGCATTTTTATAATTCATCTGACCTATTTTAGATATCTCTTTGAGGAAGAGATGAATCATTTTCCTAAAGATGACTATTTTTTTCTCTGAGTACAAGAAGAGAGTCTAAAGCAACTAGGTCAGGTATCGGTGTCAATAATGCAGATGTCTCTTATTTTGTTAGATGAATGCTATCCAGGGTATCATATGTACAGAAAAAAACAATCCCAACATCCAGTTTAGAATGGGTAGGAAAAAAATAATATCCTAAAAGCAACCTGAAAAAAGAAGTTCAGAATTCAATTCTCACATTGGTAGAAACCAGAAATAACTCATTGATTTCAGTTGCTATGTTCTACCAATACAGAGTCAGCACATGAAAGAAGATACAGTCATGGAACTGGTTAACTAGATTTAAGATGAGTGAAACCTAACTGAGGCCAAATGAGAGAAAACACTAGATTTGGATTGTCTCCTGGCTGAACAGGAGACAATGATAGGTGTGAATTTTTTTCAGGATCTAAATTACATCAGAAGAACTGTAACAGACCAGACACAGGGGACATGGACATGAAGTGAATCCTTTAAGCAGTGGCATAATCAAATGCAATTTAAACTGAGGTTGAATGGAGCTAGATGCTGTGAGCACATATTATGTGCATATAATGTCATGTAACTTCCTTTAAGAGACGTATTTTAGATACAGAGTTTGTATTCTGCAACCTCAGCCGAGGATAGTGCTAAGAGCCCATTCATCTTGCATCTATGACCAGGCTACCACAGCACGCATGCTATAGTACTATAGCAATGTCACTGGGGAGCAGCGAAAAAGCTTAAGTATAGAAACACAAATAAAATAAAGCTATGAGGTATGTCAGGAGCTGTCAACCAGGTCTACAGCACACGTAAGGATCTAAGATATGGAAGGGCAGAATTATCTATTGCTTGCTTTATTTCTGCAGAGATCCATCAAAATAGGTTAGTTACACTGTGAAGAAAAGACTTCTGGTTAAAATGGCAAGGGCTACTATTCTTTCCCTGTTATTAATAATTGTTGTTTTAATTTTTTATGATCTATTTCCAAACAGTCATATATTTTTAGGAGAGAATTTTAACAGTCTTTGTATTTTTGCTAAGAAAAAAGAACTGGTTGCTCATTTGCTTTGACTGGAATTTTAAGCACCTTCAATTATTTTCTGTGTCAGAACTATCTTTGATGTGGACCTTATCTTAACTTATTATTATGCTTGTGTTGCCATGGTAAAGGGCCATGCTGTAGTAAAACTGAACGACTGAATTCTATAATGGATTTTTGTCGTTGAAAATTGCGTATTTTAACTTTGTATATGATGTCCTTCCTGTGAATCACCAAATTACCGTGCTTTTTTTAATGCTTTATTCTCCTGATTGAAGTACAGCTAAGAACTATTTCTAGAGTACTAAGATGACAATAGTGAGATAATGAAAAAAATTACCTTTCTTTTCGTGGTTTCCGTTTTTCGTCTTGTATTGATTTCTAAGAAAATACAAAGTAATTTAAAAAATACTAAGAGGAAAGCTTATTCAAAGATACAGTTCATCAATATGTTAGGTAGGAGAGTGTTGTATATTCTTCGTTAAAAGAAATTATAGAGAATCTAATTTGCTGAGCAAGCACCCCAGAAAAATCTTTCAGAATCTTTGAGACGGAGAATGGGATTAGCATGACTACTCCCAAATTTCAGTTGTCATATGTGAAAAAACCTAAAGTAATCATCATCAGAACAAAAAAGGAGATCTCAAACTTTCAAATATCTATAGTTGTCTTAATGAAGTTGACAACAGTATCTCACTGAGGCACATTTACTGTGATGCCATGAGAATTTCCATGAATACAGGCATCACAGTGGGAGCAGGCATAATCCTCTTCTCATTAATGTCAATGCAGTCTTGTCACAGGTTTTAGTAGAATAAAATGGACATTTAAAAAGCAGTATACTAGGTGGCAAAAGCACCTTTAGGATACAAAACATCCAGAAGTGCAGAGGAGAGAGATTTATAGGGAATGTGAATAATTTCTTATCTCTAATAGATTTCCATCCCTACAGCCAAAACAATGCTATGCTGCAGCATCTAAAGCATCACACTTCAAAAGTAGTATATTTAAGTGCAAAATCTTAATTTTGCACTTATTTATCTTAATTTTGCTCTTAATTGTGTTTCTTGCAATCGAGTGAAAACTTATTAGAATTAGTGAATTGTACCACTGCAAAGTCACTGAGAACCAGAAATCCTGATGGACAGACACTTCTTATGCAGGTAAATGCACAAGACATATAATTTCAAAATGATAGGCCGATCTAAAGAAATACACCCCAAAGTAAACTTTTAGTGCCTTGTATGAACAATGGGTTATTGTCAGACTTCATTTATACCTGTGCACCACTTCAGCTCATTTAATATGCAAGGAGATGAGTGAGAATAGAAGGTGTCTAGTATCTGTAATGTGATGTAAGTATCTGTTTTTGCAGAAGACAGAGGAAATTTTTCAGAAAACGCACTCATATTGCATGCCTTCACTTTCAGGTGATCTGGGCTTGATAATCATCTGTGAATACCTGCAGGTCACAGAGATTTTTAATAAGGTTGAAAATTAATGATAGCTGGAAAAGCTGACTACCCTCAAGTTAGAGCTCAATGACTTGCCCAAGGTCTAAGAATTTAAGAACTAGTAGGTCCCCTTTCTAAGCTTCAGTGTAGCAGATATTTACATGAACCTTTCCCTTACCAGTGTTAGGAAGACAGGCTTCTCTTTTTCACACCTTCTTGAAGAATACAACTAATTGAAGGTAAAATTGCTTAATACCTTGAAAAACTGCTGCTAAAAATTCGTTTAAAAATTCCCCGGCATTACTGCAGTTTTTGTTCACACTGATGTGATGGCTGTTTTCTGATACATGGAGCTGGCCATGTAACAAATTAGCTTTCAGAAAATACTGTGTTCCTGACTGTATAGTCTCGGCTTTCTAAATATGTATTACTTCAGAATTACACTTCACCTCAGAAATTTCCTAATATAGAATTCAGTTTCATGCCTTTCATTTCAGTCCTTTATCTCACCAATCTTGCTTTCACAAAACAAATCTTATTCTTACATGCCAATTCATTTTTAAGAATATCATTTCTCTTCAGAATATCACTGTTCCAAAGCTGTGTTATTTCAAAGCCCCCATAATAAAACAGCCGTATTTGTCTTTTTTGGTATGCCAGGCACAACTCTCCCTAAAGGCCCTGGTGACACCTTCTGTTGAAAGGAGAAGCAATTGCTACGGTTAGTTTATTAGCTGGGCTCTCACCGGCTGTTAAAATAGGTCACTAAGATACAGGCACCTCGAGCAAATGAGTTTAATTGCTTTTTTGTTGGAACTGCTTTCTGAGCTGCTTTTACATTTTCTTTCTTTCTGCTTACTTTCTTGCCTTTTTTTCTATATTTAAGGGCACTGAAGTCAAGAGTGGAAAGCAGCCCTTACATTTTCTGTCTTTCTGCTTACTTTCTTGCCTTTTTTTTAAGGGCACTGAAGTCAAGAGTGGAAAGCAGCCCTTGGTATCTGAACGTGGACCAAAGGCTATATAGAGGGACACTCAAATCCATTAGTCTCCTGAGCTGTTGGTATTTGCCAATTCCTTCATAATCACAATCTGACACATTTGTAAAGGAAGTTACAGTGTGCATACTAATACAGCCTATTTTAATATTTGCTCTCTCTGCAAGATCAAGCACTAATTTAGACACTCAAAATAGCTCTCCGAATGAACCTGTTTCTCTCTCGTGACTTACAAAGAAACTACGGAGACTGGGCACTTAATTTGGGTATCGAAAGTGCAAATGCTGCTTACGTGTATAATGAATGTATGTATGTTTAGGTACAAAACTAAAAATTGGCCTGACCTAGGGCCCCAATCCAGGGTAACTCTGATCCTTAATAATTTCAAATCTAGTTTGAAATGTGAGGTTTGTGGCCTGCCTCCTTTCAGCAGGGCACACCTTTTATGTTGTATTAGAAAGGAATACAGGGAATCGGGCAATTAGAAAGAAAGTTTAGATGGGAATTATCTGGCAGTCTTAGCCCACAAAAGTTTGCTAAACTCACATGTATTAGAGTGTAGTAGGTGGAGTCTTCTGGATTATTTAATGTCTTAGGCTTCCGTGGCCTCCTTGGGGGTCTCTGCATTGGGCGAGAGTCTTCTACTTTGGCTGCAACTGTAAAAAACCAGAAGATAGCAATGCTTATTTCACCAAAGAGAGCAAAAAAATCCACGTAGCCACTTTTACTGCTTGCAGTAACTCAAGAAAGCAACCGTTTGGGGCATTTCCATGACCAGATTGAAAAGGGGAATGGGTTTATCCGTTTGAGTCCTGACTACCACATGGATACATGCTATGTAATGAATGTCAGGCTGGAACAGCCGAGCAGTCTGCCTGGCACAGGCTTCTCCTTCTGAAAAGGGCTGATGCTCCACATTCAGAAAAGGACTCTGAAGGATAATGGCTACTGGAAGGCTACCAACTCGTAACAGACCTGGGCAGCGGGGATGATGTTTTTTAAGATTCAAGTCAATCATTAAGGTGCTGAATGAGGGAACTACCATTAGACCTCTGATTCAGAGGTTAGTCCTCTACATTATCATGGTGTAGATTTTCCCCAAGGTCTCCTGCCAAGGCTGTTCTGTTTCAAGACAAATCATGTACCACTGGGCAACACAGCGTGACCATGTCTATCACATCCAGTATAATCTAGTTGAGCGTACTCAACTTCTGGTCTATTTCTACAAAAGCTTTCTGCAAACATGCAAAAAATGTTTTCATTCTAATGGAAACGAAATCAAGATTTTAACACAAAATGGAACTGCTGTCCTCTGGCAGTCTCCAAACTCAAAGTTAAACACTGACTTGTGGGTTACGTTGGCTGGCACATGGGGAACTAGACAAATGTCTTGGGTATTTGCTTGTTAAAAATCTATATGCAATTCTGACAGTATTAAGATACAGGGCTGCTAAGTGTTCATAGGCTTATAGGTTCTGAGACCACAGAACTGACTCAGCGGGGCTGAGGAACCACAAATGTACAGTGTGGTGAGCATAACCACCTTACATTCAGCTTCAGCTATAGGAAAAGTTAATAGGGGCTACGGCAATTCCTTCATGTTGAAGGAGGCGGGGCTTGCAGGGCAGCAGAACACCTACGATAGAGATGGGTCATACGGACACATACAGGGTGATGAAGTCACAGCACATGGTGAACGGTGTGTCCAGGTATATTGCATTATCCAATGAGATTTTAGATTGTCCTTGTTCCATCACAGAAGTATTCAGAGGACAGTCCATGAGAAAAAACATCTCCTTACTCATAAATGAATATAGCGTGAGGGTGGAATGAGGATCTAGCTCCCAATGAATTACTGAAGTGTGTTCTGCTGATCTAATCCTCTTTCACATGAAGTGACTTTAACTCCATAACCCCAATGTGCTAACTACATGTGATTGAGTCTTAGAAGGAAGAATGTATTTTGTTCTCTAATGACCATTAGAAACCCTTTTACACAATAAAAATAAAAACTCTCCCGTGTACATCAGACATCTTTTTAATTAAGGAGGTGGCACAATCATTTAAAATGAGAAAGGATCAGTAATACATCAGTGTTGACTCCTGCAAAATTAGCTGTGTAAGTTTTTTGTTATGTGTGATAAATAAAGGTTTGTAAAGGTCATGGATATACAGAGGAGGCAGAATGAATAATGTTAATTTAAATTGTAGTTGGATAATGATTACATTTATTGTTTTAGTTTCTTATCTGAAATGCAGACTGCTTCTCATGCAATGAATGAACAAGTATCTCTTAACATTTTGCACTTAAGAGAACAATGGTATTTTTCTAAGCCAGGGTACAGATAATTCATGTTAAACAATGAAATTTAGATGCAATAAATTCATTTTAGTAACCTGTATTAAATATAAATTACATTCTCTGATTTGAATAGGTAAATAGCACCTGACTGTGCTCTTATGTGGGCTGTTGTTACCCTGCTGCATTTCAAATGGGCCACCTGGGGTTATCTGAGTTTCCATTTGTGAGAGAGTAGAGGCATATCTTCGCTGTTTTATTTTTAAACACAACAGGAGCCTAAACTGGAAAAAATACTTAAAAACAACCCCTTAAAATTCAGTGTAGTTGAATAGAAACACCTAACCCCTTGTCTGTTGGACATTTTCAAAAATTGTGTCAAAGATCATGACTACATGAAAATCTGGAGAAAGAAAACAAAGCCAAATTGAGGGCTCTAGGAAAATTCTAAGGAAAAGGCTCTCATAATACCTACAGATTTTTTATTGTCCCCTAAGAATTCATCACTATGTATGCTGTTATGTTATTTAATTCACCACTGTCAAACACATAAAGCATTATCATATTCGAGATTACAATTATTCCAAATGAAATTACTTGTATACTTCTTGCGTATGTGCTCTGCAAAGACGACTCCTCTTACATTCAAAAAACATCATTTTGGCAATGATAAGGGTTTCAGTAAAAAATAGCTTTTAACCTCAGCTCGTGCATTGTACATATGTATGAGCTATGCAAAAGAGTCGAGGGGACAGAAATACCATGTTGGGGCAGACAGCCTTCTAAGCTTGGACCTCCATCGTTCCTTTTTAAAATTACATAGAGGGCTGAAAATGCAATTCTGAGTTTTGTTTCCAAATTACAGTAAGTAAAAAAACAGTTTGATGGGTTTAGCTTGCTTTGTTTCACCAGAAAGTGAACCTGTGATTTCCTTCTGCACTTAGATTTGTGTGTTCATTGCTACTGAAATACAGCTGATGTGGTAGTTACTTGTATTGGATAACTCACTGCACAAAGTAAAATTTCCTTTTTTATTAGTTGCTGATAATTCCAGAAATCATTTAGTTAGTAGAGTTAAAGGTGGAAGGCAAATTAAATACCCAAGCCTGATAAACGGTGAGTTTGATGCGCTTGTTTTCCAGATGGCCTATACCTTTCTGCAGTAGGCAATGAAGCATAAAGAAGGAGTATAATCATTCACTTATTAATAGGCCAATTATGTTGCTTCTAGAGTCCATTACAAAGAAAAGGTTTTTCTTGAAGCCCAGTCTCTCCATACTAAAATATCTTATAGCCTATTTTTCCTTAAGACTTCAAGTATCTCTAGCAAGATCTGGCTGTGTGCTCTATATGTAAAAGGAAAACCGATGCTTTCTATCTAACAAATATTTAAATACATATGTTACAACATTGATATGAAAAGCATTCACAACAGTAGCCGTCAAAGCACTTTGGAAATGTCAGGTTGGCACTATCATCCCTATCCTACTAGCAGGGTAAATGAGATGCACAAAGCAAGACACACCGAGACTTGCTTAAGGTTATATCCCAGTTAGTCATTAGCACAGCTAAGGAGCTGGACTGAAAGACTGTGCTGAGGCTCCCGGCTCTGCAGCCAGCCCATGCCCTGCAGTTATATCTACCTGAACAGGTGCTGTCAGTGCTGTGACACATTCACATGCCTTAGAAACAATGCATAGGAGAAATCGGAAACAAAAGCATTTGATGCTACACAGACATTCCTTTTTAAAGGTTTTACCAACAGGTAGGCAAGTTGAACAAGTTGAAAGGGAGAAGAATTTTCCTCAAATTGCTTAAGTGCATGCAGTCAGTACTCAATTAGTCAAAAGAAAGAGGTATTGCTCTCGTGACATGGATGCTTTGCTTTTGAACCTCAACAGAGAATGTCAGCCATGCTGTAACCCATGCCCAGGAAGTTATATCTCTCTGCTGCCCAAACCTGAAGCAGACTGTCAAAACGTACATTTGATCAAGTGATGATGGAAAGTTTAATAAAAGTTAAGGTCATTCTCCATGAGAATGAATGACTTACAGAGTTAAGGGTCAGCAGAGACATGTGAACGGTGTGGCTGCCAGGTAACATTAAAGAAGGTTTAGCAAACTTATGGAAAACTTCTTATTCTTATCAGTATCTCAGCTAGCTCGTTTAACACTACCTCAAAGGTTCCTACCTAAGTCGCACACACGCTCTTTGACTCTATGGTGTTCAGTTACGAGGTGTTACTACTTTCATACTCAGTCCTCACTGAAAGCTCCAAATACACTGAAAAAATAAGAAAAGGGACAATGAAATTTAGGACCAGCTCATTTAATGTATGTGTATCCTGAACACCACCACAAACTACGGAAACTGTGAAGAGCTGCAAGTGCTTGAAACATTCAAGTATGAGCAAGAAATGCTTGAATAAAGATGAGTCAGTATCAACAGCCCTTTAGGTTGAACTGTGTCTGCACATTCTGATGTACAACGATAAGCTTGGAAGACAACGATCTCAAGGAATCAACATCCATGGATGCCAATGTAAATTAATGTATGACTTACAACAGATCTTACACTGAAGGCTGGAGAAATAGTGTGGTTACAGCTGTGATAAGCATCTAAGTGATGAAAGGTCTCTATTTATTAGGCCACCTGGAGAAACAGATAAACCTGTCTTCAGGTCATTTAAGTGAAATGTTACATGTTTGATTCAGTGCTGTTCCACATCTTACGAGGACAGGAAGTGTAAAGCCAGGCTCAGAATAAAGCAGGAAGAAAAACAAGAGTAAGAGCAGTAATTGTATGGGTTTTGTAGAGGGGCTTAGAAGTAATCAGCAAAATGCAAATATAGCAACCGGAATTCCAGGACTTGATAATGAGAAGTGAACAGCTATTACTGCTTACAACATTTATGTGCATACCTTTTTACTGTCCTAATTGTACATAGTATGAGGATGTAATTACTCAGGTTTGGGATTTGCACATAGAAAAGCACTGCCATTTAACATTCTGGTTAGTAATTTTCAGGTATTGTTTATTCACGGGATGTTTACCACAGCCAGATTTGGAAGTTACGGTTGATGGATGCAAATTCTTAGCAATCTGGAAAAAACAGAGGGATTATTCTGGCACAGACCTAGAACTAGGAACTGCAAGAGTCTGAGAACTTTCCGATTGCATCCAGCAGGAGTTGAGAGTGTGTGATCTCTCGTGCCTAAGTCCCGCCAGCCCCACTGAAGGAAGCAGTTTCAGTCTCTGACCGACACTAATACTCTCATTTCTGAGAGTCTGGTGACCTGGGATTATTGCTATTTAAGAGAGGATGTTTAAGGAAAATGGCTGTACTCCACTTCCATGACCTCCCAAATCTTATGCTCTGCCATGGATCTGACCACTTCCCAACACAGATCTTGTACGTCCTGGCTGCATGGTGCCCAAAGGGCCACTCCGGTAGCTGAGAACGGCCAGACAGCGGAAGTGCTTGACTACCCTGCTTTTCTCCAGTCCCACGCCTCATTGCTCCCTGGCCGGACACTCACTTGCAAAGAAGAAAGACCGGCCAGGGAATACTGCTCTGCTCACCCAGTGCTACACGGGCTCCCTTTTCCTTGCAAAGGCTGCCCATGAAACCTCCATAAACACTGCTGCGGCAGCCTACAGCAGGAGAAATCCTGGATGAAAACCCTGCCTGTCTCACTGCTTCATGTAACTGAAGAGGTCCTCAGCTGCACCGGCGTTCCTTGTACCATGTGAATTTCGCTCTAAATATAGAAAATTCTCTTCCTGAGATTTTGTACTTGAACTGTCATTTAATATTTACAAGGATGGGCACCATTAGTCATCTGGAGAAAAAAAGAATTGCTCCCATAATGATCAAATTCCCCTCACTTCAGGCTTTGACCTCAAAAAACCTGACAGTGGTAATTTGTGCATCTATTCTGACACCACAGTAACCCAAGGCTCACTAGCAATCCAAAGGTGCAGTCCTGGGATGCAGCCATTATGTTTAGCTGAAAGCATTTAGCAAGCAAATACAACCTACTCAGAAATTCAAGCCACAGGGAATCTTGTTTATTCCAGGAACCTTGTGCAGCTTGCTTTATGCATTTTTATAAATACAAATAAATTCATTTAAGAACAACTTAACCTTGTGGATTTAAGATTCATTTAACCTTTTTGCTCATATGTTCTTTAAACTGCAGGCTTTGCATTTTTATTAAACAGTTTTGAAAATCTGAACATTTGTCACAGTACGCCATCCAGCTGCCCCACAGTTCCTCCCCTTCTGTGGGTAGCAACGTAATAAAATATTTTATTAGAGGAGCCAGTAAGTTCTCAAACGAAACAATGGCCACCTACCCACAGATGAAGGTGGACAAGTATTCCTAATCTGGCATACAGCTATAAAATACAATTCACGTGTTATAGCTGTAAAATGACATATAAAACTAGTGAAGCTGAGGAAGAAGTGTAAATAAATGTAAATGACCAAAGTAATTACAAATAGGTAAATACTTCATGATTCAAAGAACAGCTAAAGCTCAACAATCATTGCCTTCATAAGGGTAGGACAGCAAAGGTAGCCCTAGAGGGAAACCTGCAGTAAAAGCATATCCTTCTGTAAATGTGTGTGTATAAATTGTACTGTAACACATAATGTAGGCAAGAAGACAGGAAGGCTCCTCCCTGTTTAATAGACAGTGGATCACTCACCACATCTACTTGCTTCACTTTAGCATGACAGTCTGCAGTACATTACCTCAGGTCTTTGTTTTATGTAGTTATCTTACTATACTGCATACAGGAAGAAAGTATGATATCCAGAATGCTGATAACTCCTGTGTTGTAGACAGTACAACCTAAATGAACTGAACACAGGCATATTTTTACTTAAATATTCTCTACATCTAGTTAGATCATGTTTGCTATAATAAACATCTACTTAAGTTAAGACAACGCAGCTTTGTGACTGAGCTCTGTAATGCTTAGGCTCCAGTCGGCTCACAGGCAAGCTGGGGAGTTACTGTAGTGAATTCCCCTCCTTCAGTACACTGTGCATTGATCATAGCTGGAAAGGATACAGTTTTCCTGTTGTGTGAATTATGTTTGAATGTAGAAAAAGAAACTTCACGTTCCGCACTGAGGAAGGTCTTTCAGCGGACTGGTTAGCAGTTATAAATATGGCTGTGGGGATGTGAGAAATCAGGGATCGGGTCCCTGCTGCCATCACTCCATATCCTAGGTGAGTGGCTGAGCCTGGCGCCCACTGTTAAACTGTGTTGCAGAGAGTGAAACTTCACGTCATGGCTGGGAAGGGTGGCAGAACACAGTCTTCGGCTAAAGCCCAGCTCACCTTCCTTCTCGCTTTTTTAAAGTTCCATGTCTGGCAAAATTCACCTTCATTACATTTACCATGAGTAGCCACACAAGTTGTACGAGGTACTTGAGTCAACAACAGAACACAGCAAACACAAACTACGGCTGCCCAACTCTGACCAGCTGGGCAAGGGCAGCCAAGGAACCAGACCCAGCTCAAAGTGTGAAGCCTGTTGTATCAAGGGAAAGTTGGCTACAGAAAGATTGGGAACAAGAGTTCTAGTAAGAACTGTTTGAGGACTGTTTTTGGGGTGGTTTGACTTACTGGAGCAGAGTGTTGAAGTGAGTGACTAGCTGGACAGCAGTAAACAGGCTGGAAGGGCTAGTTTGGTTTGAGATAGAAGGGGCCAACTCATGCTTTACCGTGTTTAAGGGCTGGTAGGACAGCTTTAGCTGGCCTGTGCTTTGGTGGCACATTTCTCTGTAGCGAGTTCAGTCATAGCTTCTTAGTCAAATAGCACCCACTATTTAATTTTAAATGCATTCACCTTTGAAAAAAGTAACTACTTCCGAGCTCTGTACTTACCTTGTCTACACGCCAACTTGCAGCAATTTAATCAAAACCAAAGCATGTGTCCACCATATTTATTTTGAAAAAAAATATATTTTGCAAAAATTCTGCATGAGCCATCTTGAAACGAGCATGCTTTGACTACCAAGTATGTTTTAATCTGTATGAATGAGCATTCAAGACTCTCTTTTTGATGCTTCCTACTATTTTGAAGTTATGATTGCTATTGCTGACATTTTTTGCAAAAGACAGTTAGTCAAAATAGCAAACATTCAATTTTTGCATCCATAAGGGAAAAAAAGGGGGACTTGTAAGTCATCAGAATTTCTGTAAAGATTTTGCCTGGTGCACAAAAGAGCTAAGTGCTGTCCTGTCACACATACAAACATTTGTCAGGAGAAAACATAAATCCTCCTTTTGTTAAGACCGCAAAACATTAGTGTGTAAAAAAATCTTACTTCTTTCTATTTATTAAAATGAGGCCAAAGACCTGGTCTCTTGTGCACTCAACAACTGTTTCAGTGTTGTCTTAAAAAGCGTTTTGACTTGGTTCAAAGAAATGTATGACATTTTTCATGTTGTTGTTCAAAAGGATACAACGCAGCACTTTCACACACTTTACCATTGGAAAAACGCTGTATTATGACACCACAGAGGTTTAAAGCAGTGGCACATCTTCAGAGATAAAGGGAAGTGTGAAGTGGCTGACTGGTCACCACTTTAAGCAGGGTTGCACGCAAAGGTGACAAACTCTGGCATCCTTTTGTCTCCCGTAGAGCTACTTAAATTTATAGCAATGTTAAGAGTAGACTTTGCTCCATTTTGCACATGGCATGAACATACTGGTACATTTTCACCTGGTTCACTTGTGTAAGTAATGAGATCTTTAACTGGTAAAACAGGGATTTGTGTATTCCCTTTCCCTCTATCTACCTCTCTTCTCTAGCTTCTGTGAGAAAATATGTAAGAACCAAGAGTTATTTTCCAAAGCATGAATTTTTAATTTCTCAGGTTTATGTTGTCAAAAACCAGCAATATTTAACAGAGAACTCAGTACAAACCCATTAATGACAATTACAAGCATTGCTCTGTCTTTAATGAAAGATTATGGCATTTAGTTTTCCATTTCACATCTGTCTTCTCTTGCAGTCTTTGGTATTGGAAACAGGTTGAACTACATAGATTATCTACTAGCAGCCAGTTTACACTTAGAGGTTTAGATTTTGTAAACACCAAGCCCTCGTTTTAGCAGCTTGCCCATTTGAGAGGACTGCAAAGTGGGAGTGAAATACTTTTACCATCTCTTCAACGTATCCATGGGAACAGAAGGAAGTTTCAGCATACATGACAACTGAATCCACAGTGTTGTAATGAAAATAGTACAATTAGCTCTGGGCAGCAAGGGACAGTCCTGGATCTGATCCCAGCTGTGCAGGGGTGAGCAGTGATCTTCCTCAGAGGCAGTGCAGTGACATGGGCTGGCACAAGCCCCCCCTGCAGAAATGGAGACCCACCCAGTCATCTGCCACGTTTGCCCTCATCTTCCTCTGCATCTGTGGTCCAAGACACAAGCTGAGGAAATCCCCCATTATGTCTATTCTAAATGAAGAGGCTCAGTCAGCTCTTTGTGGACCTGTCCGTGGGGCACAGGTCTTAATGATCTGCATGCTCTGAATCCCATGTCTTCCACCTTTATTCTCCCAGTACTCCCACTGCCACCTAACCTGCTTCAAGTGTGCTTGCATTTTGGGAAACCCCACTGCCCATGTTAACTGGAATATAAATAACTTGGAGTATATTTTCAGAGGTAATGTCCTCTTAAGTGTGTGAGTTAAATGGATGCCAATTATTAATAAAACTTTACTTGTAATTTTAAGGACATACCCACCAGCATGGGTAGGAGTTACAAGTTTTGGTAGCCTCAGTTGCATTTGTGGATAGCTAAACTTTAGTCAGCATAAATGTGACAAACTTTGGTAAATTGTTTGACATGGTACCTAAAAAATACTTTGTTTTTTAAAACATAGTCCCATATCTTACCAATAGCACACACAGTTGAGCAACATATGAGTAGAAAAGAGCCAATGTGGAATTTTTACCAAATAAAAGTATTTCTAGAGATGCTATGTCTAGGTCTCACAATGATTCATTCACCAATCTTAAGCAGCATTGAAACAAAATACCAAGAAAAATGGTAAATATGTAAATCCCAAGCAGGCTTGGATATATCTGTTCCAGACATATACTGATATGGGGCTTAGTACAAAAATGAACAGCACGAGTTATATGAGAAGCCAGAGCTAACTCATCTACTAGTTCCCTGGCCTTTAAAAACATGACTAGGAGTTGCTTCTTGACAGTCCTGTTTACAAATGAAAATTCTGCTAACAGTAAGGTTCAATATTACCTGACTGACAAACATGAGAAGAAAGTCGGCCATTAGCTTGCTTATCTTTGGACAGCATCACGGGTCTCAGCTGATGTGACAATATCATTTCATTCAATTTTTGCTGCAATGCTAAGTAGTCTTCAGATAATTTTGATATCTGAAAAATATAACACAGGATTTTACATTATTATATAAGTAAGTATATATGTTCCAAGGTAATCAAAGGTAATCTCTGGACTAGAGAATGAATTTAAAAGGTATTGTTCCACGTACTTCAGTGCAGGCCCCTACCACACTTACCTCCCCATCCCCCTTTAAAATAAAAAGGGAGGGGGGGGGAGAAGACACATGGGAAACTCCACACTGCTGCCCAGTCCTGCATCTACCTCATATTGGTTCACACATGTGAGCAGACGGTGCCTTGCTGATGCAAAATAGCTTCTACAGCTGTAGGCATACTTCTCTGCACATGTGTGAGTCCCTGACATTGACACAGCAACTTTTAGTTTCATTTACAGAGACATTTCACAGGTTTACTGAATTAAGAGCCTTGCCTGGTAAATGCACATTTCAACAAATGTAAAGCTTCTGCATTTAACCTAAACCAGGTTAAAATGAACATAATTTTTTTGCCAGTGCTCTAACTTTGTCTTCCCTCCTTCCTGAAAAGGGTATTTTCTCTTGCAGCCCAAAATATGCATTTTTATAGAACACTCATTACAAAATCTCAGTCTCAGTTCAGAGTGTAAAACCTTGGTGCCACTGAAGCCAGTAAAATAACTTTGCCATTCTGTCATTGCTCAGAGTGTTATGTTCAACATACATAGCTTATAAGCTTCTTACCTGCCGCGAAAAGGCTGCCAAATCACAAGCCTCTTTCTCTGAGTCTCCCTTCAGTGTCTTAGAGTCTTCAGCCTCTGTACTGCTGCTTTCCCTATCTTTTGTTGTTTGGGGATCATTATTTTGAATGTGCACTGTTTCTGTTGCCTCCTTTATAGTTTTCTCTTGACTTTTGCAAGGTAGTTTCCCTTCTTTTCTGAGTTGTCCCCTCCTTCTGTAACCCCGGTAACTGCTCTGAATAACCACTGCTGCCTTCTCTTTGTCTTCTGAACCTTGTTTTTCTGCCTCAACTTGCTTCTGTGAGCCTCTTAGTGACTCTTTTCTTATAATTCCTTTACATCCTGTAGGCATCACTGCTTCATGTTTCAGGTGGTTTCTTTCCACATCCCTGTCAGTCCTGGGCTGGACCACAGCAGATTCTTGATCTTGCCCATCTGCACTGAGTGTGTCTTGATTATCTTGCTCTTGCTGGGGACTAGGTTCAGCTGTGCTTTTGACAGAAGATTTGCTGGACAGCTCTTCCAAAGAGGCTTGTTCTTCGCCTTCACCAACATGTTCTACTGCAGGGTTCTGCTTCACAGAAGCTCCCTCTCCTTCAGTAGATTTTTTTTGTTGCTCCTGTACATTCCCTGTGTCACTGTACCCAGAGCACTCGCTGTCAGTAACAGCATCAGCTTCATCTTGAGTCTCCTCGTTTGCTGCTTCTTCCAGTGTATCATTTTGATCTGGCTGCAGTTGTGCTTCAAGGAATTCCACAGCAGATAATTCTTCCTCTGCTATTTTTTTGTGCTGTTCCTTTATTTGTTTATGGACTCTGTAGCCTCTGTAATGGCTCTGAACAATGACAGCTGCTTCTTCTTCTGTTTTAGGAAGGGCACTCTTCACTCCAGCTGGACCTTCCTCATTATTTTGAAGTTCTTCATCCTTTTCCTTTTCACTAATGGATGCTGCATTTTCAGTTTGTCTCTTTCTAAGTGATTCCCTGAATGGAGTAGAGTTTTGGGCAAAAATTATAGCTGAAGGAGATGAAGGATAGTGACAACTTTACAACTATCTTTGGTGTACTAAATGGCAATTTGATACATTGCAACATGGGAAAGATGTAGTGCATATAGCTGGAATTAAAGATAGCAAACCAATCTCTGTCTGTCTGATGATTACTATTTCTTAAAGTGAAAAGGGACATCCCTGTTAAACTCTGCACGGAAAATTGCTAGGGGGACAATCTAGGCTGCATGAGGGCTGATAAAACAGTAAAGAATTAATTTAAATGTTAACAAAAACGTAAGGCAGAAACTTTTTAGCACCTTAAATATGTATAAATACACACAATCCTAAACGTATTCATGAAAGAAAACTGCCTCAAGTCACACTAGAAATGCAAAAAAGAATGATCCTGGGCATAGGTCCAGGTCAAATTTAAAAGACCTATTCCCTAAACTGTCTTTGTTACTATCAATAAAACTTCAGTGCCAGGTGAAATCTGCCACCCTGTTCCTTCCCTCTGAAAGACTCTGGATTCCTTCACAGCTGTTTTCCACCTCTCTGGACTAGTGTCCACCTACTTAAATGCTATCACTGAAAAAATGATGGTGATGAGCAAAGTGCTACTAGCTCCATTTCAGAGATTGGGACTACAACCACATTGCAGAGATATTTAGAATGTGATTCACCTCACCTAACTTTTAGCTGTTTGATGTGAGCAAGACATCTGGGTTTCCGCTGTCATCACCTATGCTTATCTCAAACAGTGACTTAAGATGAGAAGAACAGTTCCTTGAAGACACCTATTTCTTGCTCTTGTCTGAGCATTTTTTATGATGAGCTAGTTCCAAAAAGAGACTCATCTACAGATTACATTAACATTACAGGTAAGCACAATATTGTTGGTCTTTCCCCTAAATATGACTTTATTCCCTGGGCTTAAAAATAGGAGAAAATTGGCTACTGACTTTAAAACCTCCACATAAATGTACATTACCTCTGCATATATACCTAGAATAATCCTAATTTGCTTCACTTTTAGCTCACATCGCTGTTCTTCAGCAGGTAAAGGGACACATTTGAGTGACATAAGAGATAGAAAATAACACTACCTCCTCCTTTTGAAGATCTTCCTCTCCTTATGTCCCCTGTAGTGAGACTGAATTGTTATTGCTGCTTTGTTCCTTGCCTCAGTTAGTTCTTTTCTCTTCTTCCTGAGTAAGTATCCTCTGGCAACTGATACAAATTGTAATATAAAACAACCTTAGGCAACAAGAAATGGGTGTCCCACACATTTCAGAGAGTCAAATGATAACAGCATTAAACAAAAAGCAATAAGGAAATACGGACTGGGGTGGTGGTTATGATTACGTTTCATCTGAAATTATTCTGTCCCACAAAACTTTTTGAGATTTCAGACAGCTGTACCCATTCTACATGAGGATACAAACAAGCTCTTTCTTCGTATTTTATTGGACTAAAGAAAATACAGGAAGATACAGAATGAAGCAGAAGCATAGTGCTGTAGAAGTGCCTCTAGAACACAGTGCTCTCAGCCTCATGTACCTGCTTTGCCTGATTCAGGCAATTGATTTGACTCAGTCTTTCATTTCCCTGGGAAACGCCTGATTATCAGGCTATAGAGATTACCAGGCTCTCTTCTGGCACAGGCTTGGAATTAGCTGAACATTCACTAGATCAGAGAGAAACTGAAAATTTTATAGCTCAGCAGTTGCAGAAGACTTAGCTCATGCTCCTTTTGCAAAGACTCATTATTCAAAATGAAAAAGCTCAGCATGAAAGATGTGCTAAGCTCCACAGTAACCAGGTGCACTGTAGCAAGGGTACTCACTACTTGTGCTTTGTGGGAGGGACAAGTTAAAGTTTCTGGTCTGAACCAGGATGAATAAGGACTCAAACATCGGTCTTCCCTGAGACATGTAGGCACTGACTAGTCACTAGGGGCTTGATGCAGTTGCCGGCACATAGGTATCTAGTGCCATCTGAAGTGCTCCAGGATAGCCAAGGCATCTGCATGGAGCTGGCAGAAAGAACAAGACAGATGGGACTTTCTGGTGAGGGAAAGTTGAGTATACCACATGAAATAAAGCTGGAGGCCAGGCAAGATAACCTAGGGCATCTCAAATGACACTAGATACTAATATGGGGGCAAGTGAGCTGAGCATTTGGTGGTTTTGAATAAAATGAATCAAACTCTAGGCTCTGCTGACTAAAAGAGGAGTTTAGACACCTAGGTCACTTTTAGACATCTACACTGAAGTGTCTTAATCAGAAACTGAATTGCATTCAAAATGTTGCTTCAAAAATTCCTGAACTTGCAAGTAATTTCCTAATGGGAACTAGCACAGTCTCCACAGTGCTGTGATTTGGACAAGTCTGCAATTCCAGGGATTCAGCACAAATCCGGTAATCCCTGGCAAAATAAAAAGAATATAGTGTTTTGTCAAAATATTTCTGTTGAACTCTAATTCCAAATGCAGTACCAAGACTATGGTGGTAGAGGATTCAGATGATTTAAATACCCTGAGGAGATGGTAGATATGGGAGCTCTTACTCCAACTCTGCTGTGAGAGTGTTTTGCATCACAGGGAAAGGTCAAGCTCACTTAAAAATGGGAAGGGAGCATAAACAGTCTATTCTAACACATTCATATAACTTGGTGCTAGGTTTTATTTGCTTTAGCATTCCCTACTCATAATTTAGAGCAACTTGGGCTCCATTAGATGCAGTGGTTCAGTGTAAGAAGCACTGTATAAAAGGGACATAAATTACATCTTGATAATTGGATATAGGGTAAAGGAACCCAAATACTTACTGGAAGTGGCACAATCGGTTTTTATACTGCAGTCTGACAGGGCCTTAAAAAAGTGCAAATTATAAAGCACTTGGAATAGTTCTAGAGTTTCTTGGACTTCTGAGCCAATCCTCCTTCCATTTTCATACAAAAGCAACTCAACAGGAGTTATTTTGAAATAAATCAAGTTACATTGTCAATGGACATACCAATATAAGTTAAGTCTGGTCTTTTTAGACTTATTCTCGTTCACCTTTGAAATTTCCTGAGAACTTTGTTATGTGATAGTAGCTGTCTAAGCTTTGTTTTCAAACTGGAAGAAGAGTTTTGTATTGCTTTAGAAATAAATGGGGGGGAAAAAACCTGAGAGAGCTAAGTAAAAATGGACTTCCATTTTGTTCTGGCTTCTCGTGCACTGAAAAAAGTTGAAATAAAACTGCACACAGGACAGAGAAGGTAGACAAGAAGAAACATTGGGGAGATCGACAGAGCAGAGTGGTAAATTCATACTTTTGCATTTGCTAAATATCCTAATATAATTGACAACTTTCAGGTGTGTAATTATTTTTGGCACATCACTGGATTTGATTCTGGTTTTAGATTGTTTTCTACACTGATGAAGTTCTACGAGCTGCAATGAAGTGCTCTTCAGTACGCACTAACGTTGGCTCAGTGCAATTAACAGATGCATCTGACAATGATTAAAACCAGCACTGGTGTCGGTATATACTCAGGAAGGCATATCTGAGGTAGTTTAAATTAGATAGCCTGGGTACTTGCGGCACTAGCTTATATTTGGGGTTGCCACCTTTGTAATTACTGAAAGTGCTGTGCAGATTTGTGCCAGCTGTTTTCAGACCTGTGCCTCTTGAGTTGTACTGCTGCTGATTTCAGAGCTGCCTGGACTACATCTGGCTTGGGGACATCTCTGCATTGACAGGGGAGACGGAAATAAAGGGAGGAAAAAGGGATGTCACGTAGCATACATCTGGGCCCAAGGTGATTATTGCTGCAGAAGAGAAGGAATATTTTGCTAGGTTGGACTGAGCGATGGCAAAAAAGAATCAGAGACACGAGTGAAATTACAGGTTGTAGTCTTCTCAAACATAACCATTACTGATACATAACAAAACCTATTCCTAATAGGACAGCACACACACATACATTATATGCAGACTATCATATGAGACTTCAACTGTTTCAGCTGTAATACTTAAGACATATCAGACTAGGAGTGAAAAGGCTTGCTATGGCATTTAACCAGCCCACTTCACAGCTGTGGAAAGTGCCCCTAAGCTACTTTGAGGTACTGGTAACAGAATACATTGACCCGTTTCAACCACTGTATATAGATACATAACAGATAAATTATATCTCGGAATGTGTAAATGAGCATAGTCAATCAGTGTAGCTAGGTAACAGCAAAGAATCTGGATCAACATATTGTGTATGGATAGCACATTAAAAGCCACAAAAGTAAACAATTCTTACTTGCTTGAAGTCTAGTAATATATTCTTCCACTTTTTTATTACGTTTTGCATTTGTGTATTCTTTACGAGCAACAAAACCCCTGTAAGCTGAAAAGAGATGTCAAAAATTAAATAATCCATTAGGTACACAAAAGGCTGCAAGAATAAAAAAAGTCTGGACGGAATTATAGACATCCATTAAAATATTCATAAATATTTTGCAGGCTTTATCTTTAAAAAAAAATGGCAAACAAACACAAGCAGTAAATCTACATAAAAACTATGTTTTCTGGTGAGTAAAGTTATTATGAATGAAATGAACACAAAACACGAGAGAATCAGAATGTAAAATAAGATGATGTTTGAAATGTATTAAAAATTTCAGTTGATGTCTCCATCAACAGTGTAATTGGTCTTATTATCTAGGATGGTTAATACATTTTATTTTCATTATTATATTATACAATCTTGTCAGAGCATGCCAGAATATTATTAATAACAGTATCATCTGTGTAATCATGTCCTTCCGTTGTTAAAATTGCCTTTTAAATGTGACAGTGATAAACGTAACTTCAGTAAAGAGATTGTCATAACTTGGTTAAAAGAATTTTTTCTTCCCAAGAACAGATATCATCAAATGTAGATATTTTGTCAAATTTAACAGCAGGAAAACAGCAAAATCCACATCCAGCATGCACATCCATCTATCAACTGTACACAAGCACTAGCTTTAAGCAAAATGTTAAATGTTTTAAAGCTATTACCTGACTGTATTTTGATAGCACTTTGTTCCCTTTGTTCCTTTATCTTTTTGTATCTCCTTGAACCCAGCCACCCTCTGACACAAGCTTGAATCAAAATAATCATGTCAACTGTCTCCTTCCGCATTAAATTTAGCTGCTCCACATGATAGTATTTGAGGAATACCTTAAAAAGAGTAGGCAGACAAGCAAAAGTTTGTTACCCTCCCAGGCCCTGTATTCACTCAATCCATTTAACATCAACAAGAGTTACAAGTTGGTTTCAAATGGTGAACAGACTCTTTAGCTGTAGTATCTAAAGGATCATTCTTGTTAAAGATAGCATTTTGATTCTTTGGGGTATTAGTTTACCTGACTCTCCCCTTCAACATCTTTTGTCAGTGCCTGCTTATTCATGCTTTCATGGGAAGATGTTTTAAAGCCCCAGTGCAAAACTTCAGTCTGTAACTATAAATCTATGAGGCTGACAGTTTTGCTAACCTCACAAATCTGATGTGTGTTACATAAACATGATCCAAATCTGGAACCTTCAACCTCCCTGCTTTCCAATTAAATCTAAGGCATTGTTTACTTACTAAATTGCTTTTATCAAGCATGAAGCTCATATAACCCCTGAAAAACTAGTCGCACAAGAGATACAAACACATTCCTGGTGTACATTAGGATGAAATAGAATGCGTAGAAAGAGCTTGTGCAACTAAGACAATAATTACGCTTATTTTGCAGAATTTCCCCGATCTTTGATCACTCGTTGGTACAGATAAAGGTTAACCCTAATTAAAGTAAACGTAAGCTATAGATCTCACGATATGCTTCCTTTGGCTGCATGTTGTCCATTAGCCTTACTAAGACAGCAGAGGGAAATAAAGGTTGAGGAGGAGGTAACTTCATGGCTTCTGCCCCACCTATCCAGGAAGATGTGTCAGAACAGTTGTTTCTTCTACACTGAGGTGATTTCAAATAGTTTAGGATCTATCTCTCTTTCTATCCATATCCTTCCTGGGCACTTCTGTTACATTAGCAAATAGAGAGACTTGGTGCAGTACTTGTCTGACGCTGCTTTTCCCTGGCAGACCTCCTGAGATCTGTCAGTTGAGGGTGGGTGGGTGTCCCTCTCTGACACACTGGGAAGACTAGTGAGCTAGAACCAAAAGCAAGGGTATGGAAACAGACATGTATTTCTCTTTAATAAAGTCTTCCCCCACTTCACATATATGGGATCATCCTGCTATCTCTTCCCGCAGTGCTCAGCAAAGTCTGCCACAGAGGCCTCCAGCTGGAAAGCCAAAACCTTTTCCTCTCCCTTTGTGAGTCTGATTGCTCCAGGGAAGAAGTATAACTTGTTTTCCTTTAGAAAGCTTGGACTACGCTCACTGGGATCCTTACTACCACATTTTTTGAAAGAAAATGCAAGCAGTGTTGCTGTCACATACTGCTTTGCACTGTGGCCTCACTAGAGCTGATCAGAATTTTAACACTTTACAGGGTCAGGATTTCAGCCAGATATCAGGGAACAGTACCCAGCAAAGGGTGGGTTGTTTTAAACCGATAGAGACCAAGAGCTACCCCAACCAAATGGGTGAGAAAGCAAATTGCTTAATAAGTTAACAATGACATACTGCAATAATGCAGATACAGTATATTAAAAAATTACTTTAGTTTTTCCAAGAACCCAGTTGTCAAGGCGGGCTTTTTCCAAGATGGCAGCACAGGTTTCCGGGCTGACTGGAGGATCATCATTTGTTTTGTAACAGATGAGGTAATACCTAAAGGCAAATATATGATTCTTTATTCCATTAACAGCAAGCAATAGATGCAAATACATTTAAACCATTCATTTAAATAATAAAAAGTTGCATGAAAGAAAACATAGCACTGAAAAAAACCAAAACAGCATATGAAAGAAATTGCTGTGATTTATATGCAGTACTGAGAAACCCAATCAAAAGTGGATGAGTGACATATTGCACACCCTGGAGGGTTGTTTAATTCTATATCAACACCAGAAGGCTTTTAAAAAGTGTGCAACCCAAGTAGAGTTGTGCACCAGTTCTTTGGCTCTCTGCATTCTGTGAAAGTGATTTCAGTGGCAAAATAAAAATATTTTTAAAGTTTTTCTGCCTAAATTAGCTTATTTCTTATCTAGAAATGTCATGAAAATTTCATGTCTTATCTCATGTGCTAGACCATCTGCCTTTGAGATAGTTAACGTGATGTGAGATGCATCCTAGCTCCTGTTAACTCCTTGGATTCATCTTTGCAGATCCTTTTGGAACATATATGTGCCATTATGACATATCATATGTAAGCATTTAATCTGGCAATCTCATTACTCAGAATTAATTCTGACTAAGAAAAGAGGTGAGGATGCTCACACATAAAAATTACCCGTAATGTACCAGCTCAGCTGCTGGGTAGGAAAGTTCTTGTGTGTTCCAGGACTTTCCAAAATGCTCCGTAACAAAATGAACCATACCTATCTTGTTTTTTTTAATTCATGAAAATTACATTAATTATGTGTGTTTCCTGACAGTACATTCTTCTTTTTTTCTTGTTATTCAGCCTTTATACACAAAGCTTGGGTTGTACCAGCTTTAAATAATGGTAAGAATTTCCTCATGGAATAATAAAAAAAGAGACAATGTTGATTCCTGCATTATCACCAATTCCTACAGCTCCTTATTTTTTCTTTTTACTACACAATGAATTGGCTTATTTTTATTCTAACAAAATAATTTTGCCATTATTTCAGGTCTACCTGTAACTCTCAACTATTAAAAAAAAAAGACAAGGAGATAGATAATAAAAATCTCTTTTTGTTTGAGGGCCATATCCTCAGTGCTGGAGATCTGCACAGCCTCACTACAGTCAGGGGGCATGCTCTCTGGAGAGCTACCCTGTTACGTTCACTGCTTTCCTCTCTTCTACCTGAACAGTAAAATTTTTTATAAAAAGCAGTGACCAAAAGCCACAGCACATCTTGGTGCAGTGATAACTACCTTTTCCCATGCTGCACTCTTCCAAAACAGTAATAGTCCCAGGATTATTCTTTCCAGAAACAGTGCTATAAAAACATCACTTTGTCCTTCCTCCCTCTCCTTGTGCACCTGCAGCACTCTGCTGCCAGCTCTCTGTTTCTAGTGCACTATTACTTTTAAGTGCTTCTGTCTGCATGGGTGTTGCTTGCTTCTTCCCAGTTTTGATCTCCATTCCATAAATCTCAGTTCTGACTGAGGCAAATACTCAGGGTCTTTATTTGTAAGAGAGAAGTACAGATAAGTGTTCAGGATTAATTTTTTGGGGCGGAGGAAGAAGAGACAGTTAAAGGAATTATAAAATCAGAGCGAGTTCATTACTCTTCTTCTTAACAAGTGACTAATACTCAGAAATTACATTTTAAACAAAATTATGCACTTAATGAATTTATCAGCCCTAGATTAGCAATACCAAATTATCATCCACCTTGCACAAGCAGATGCTGCACAGTGCTGAACATCAGGAGCTAGAGAAACTGTGGTGCTCCTTGGATGCTATTGCTCCAAATTCTTGGCTTTAATTTGAAGCATTCAATTTCTAAACCTCAAGTCTTTGAAGAAAACTTGCAGATTATAGGCAAGACAATTTTTACCCAAACGTGCAGGGAACCTAAAACAATGAGATGCATCATCTTCCCCTACCAATCCAAAACAGGTCACTAATCTTGTGCCTGAACTACTCTTTGTCATCCAGTCTGTAATCTTCTTTGTCACAGGAAATGTCTTTGTATTTTTTCTTTAAAGACCATACCAAAGACACTGCTGATGGTTAACAAACACTGAGCAGCAATGACAGGAGAGAAAAAGGCTTCTTCACATCAATGTTACCGTTTTATGAAGTTAGCGAACAGTATACGGTGTGAATAACCCTGTCTTCGAATTCTTGCTGTCTCCAGAATTCCTGTGTAACGCAGCTGAACCAACACTTTTTCTTTATCAAACTTGTTTGCCTGCCGGTCGTTGTTTGGCTTGATGCACCTGACAAAATGAGGCTGGCCGACGACCATTTTGGATAACAAATCCATCAGAGAATACTGCAAGAAAGTAACAAGATATCTGCCATCAGGATATTTATAAAACTTGTATATAGGTCCATGTGTAGCTGACATTTTATTTCATATGATCAGAATCATGTCCAAAGCCATTTACATTTCAGTAAGCTGGTACTTTAATGAGAGATGAAGTAAATGACCCAACAACAATTCTAGCTCTGATAAGATCTCTAAGTTACTAGCGTATACTACTTGACAGAAACACTGATATGGATGTACCAAATTCCACCCAGAACATTCTCACAAACTGCCATAATGTCTAACATATGATAGAAACTCTCCTTACACTTATTTGCTTCTCTTGGAGCCTTGTTAGGTAATTACAGCCCACTTTTTCTTTCTCCCATTGTCACCTATTTGAAGATCTTTATTCACCCAGAGAGTAAATCATCCATCTACAGATGGGAAGTGGAAGAGGAGCAAGCCAGTAAATATTGCCATCCCTTCATTAGACTGGAGGAAACTAAGGCCACCCCAGAAGAGGGTCTGCTTAAACTGCTCTGATCTAGCATGTCCTGTTCATTGTATAGGCTGATAGTGATACTATAGCTGCCCTCTAAGAGGAAACTTTTGAGGAGGGCAAAACTAGAAGTACACAAAATCACAATTCCAAAGTTGTACTTTCCCACCTCACCAGGGTACCAGGCTAGCAGAGGGATACAGTTTGTAGCTCCCCATGCCAACTGAGGTGAATCTGGTTGTAAACAACCTTGACTGGTGTTTTGTAAAATTGTTTCATGGGAGAATCTTATTAAAACACAAATGAAGAGGCTCAATTCAGCCTGACTCAACAGAAAGAGGCAGCCAGGAGGTAATGCAGTTCAGCAGTAGGTTGGATACATGAAACTAGTGTAGGATGTCAAGAGCCATATGTTTCCTATTAAAATGTGCAATTCCATTCTGGACAGATGCTGCACCATGCACCAAAGTGCTTAATTAGCTTCATCACTAGTGTGCCAATCGAACACAAACAAGTAGGACACGCTAATGGATAATTTTTCTTTTCCACTCAGTCTGAGGTGGCAGATGCTTTTCTCAATCACCCACAGATTTCTGCATACGAGTAAACCAGTGGGGCTGAAGCTGAATCTTCATTTAAGAGCATTACCTAGCATTATCTGAGCAGGGATTTCCACTACAGCAAATAATAACAGAAAAGTGTAAATATAATTAACTCATTTGCAGCCTCTGATGCTAGATGTGCTGGTAATGCACTGAATCACAGACATTAGGTTTGAATGAGATTCAATAAATTTTTCCATCTAGAACTTTAAAACACCATGCAGCTTTGGAGCACCATGCTATCTAGGCTGAAATTATCCTTCGCAGTCCACAAAGCTGTGCAATTGTATCTACTAAACAGAGATCTTGCTCCTTACTGTTCTCTGTCATAGATGTAAATGAACTCTTATGGGTCGTGATCATCACCTCAGCCATCTTTGTTTTTGCTGGGAGAGATGACTAAATAAGAGTTGGAAATTCAGAGCTGAGCCCAAGTGAACCGACTCTGTGCACCACTTTGGAGGAAAGAATGCTTTTCACAGCTATTTTCTATTGCAGGACCAGCAGCACAGCCAGTGCTTGGGAAGGTCAAGAGCACTGCTGAAGGAGCCACAAGGATGGACTGAGGACAGCCTCTGAGCAGTAACCATCAAGATCTTTCTCTGGAGCTCCTGCTTCAAATTAACTTTGCCCTCTTGCTTCTTAAGCTCTTAAAGAAATGCTATACCACTAATGTCCAACCTCCCTTTATCTCCCTTGGTGGAAAAACAAGCAAGTGAAAGATTAATATCCATCACCATACATCGTCATGACAGAAATGTGGCTGTGTAATCAAGTACAATTAAAGATGAAACATCACAATCTCCTCTAGATATTTGTACTGCACAGACCGCTGCAACATATATGCAGTTCACAAACTCTAAATGGATCACTGTTGACTCTAAGTCAACAGGGGCATTTCAAAAGGTGAAAGAATAAACATTCATTCTACTCTAGACAAATTTATTAAAAGATCTGATATCTTACTCTAAAATAAGAAGCGACTGTCTGTGTTTTCATGCTGGTTGTCTCTCTTGGATGATGTCCGGTATCTCCTGCTTCATTCTATAAAGATGAAGAAAGAAAAATGACACTTTTTGTCTCTGTTGAACCTGTAGTGCCCTTTCCAATGCCACAACAAAGCACCCCTCAGAGAACATCATTAATTAAAAAAAAAGTATTCTAAACAGAAAAAGTTACAGCATGATCACTAGCACAAATCAGTTACACCAGTATGTTACATTACTTTGCTACACAATACACAAACGTTCACACACAGAGGACACAATCTGATAACGGAGCATCTATATAACTGCCACAAATAACCTGACAATGTCTGAGGTCCTGAGTTATTTCATCATCACTGTTATTTTGGTAGTTCTCTAAGGAACTTGACTATACTCCACACCAATATTTTAATTTCTCTTTTTGCTACAGTACAGGTAGGAAATAATATTTTTTCCCCCTGAAGTTGTTATAAAACTATAGCCAGAAAGAAGGGAAATGTTAGGTTTTTACCTCACGGGAGGAATATGAATTGCACAACACAAAGATATCCAGCTAAACAGAAAAGAAAATAGGAGAGGGAGAAAAACCAAGGAAGGGGTTACTTGCTTACTTTTAGTACCAATAACAGTATTGCCTTTCTAGTTTAAATTAGGGTTCAATGCGGAATCACTAAATCAGTTCTCTTACCTTCGTATGACTGATTGATTTCTGGGGGGTCCACATTTGGTAACTGATTGTAGTTTTGCTTTTAGTGTGTGCCAGGTTACCTATGGGAAGATGAAAGAAAGCGACCTACCAAAATGCTTACATCTCATCTACACTAAAAACTATGCTGAACCACCTTATTCATAAGTGTAACCATATGATTATAAAGGTCATTGACTTTTTTGGAGTACGTCCTTATTTCCCCCTTCACCCTTAGGATGGAACAAGCTCTGAAGAAGTTGCATGAAGATGGAACATGGGCTGAATTTTCCTCCTTCAGCACTTATGTCACCTACTAGAGCAAAAAAATAAACAAACAGACTGCTGCAGAAGGTAAGAAACATACATCTTAGAGTATCCATGTGGTTTTACCCTAAAGATGTTATTGTACTATTTGAGTTCTAAGGGTACATATATATTAGTTAAAAAAAAAAAGTGCTAGCACCCTTCTCTGGCCCTGGGGGCAAGTGACATGGCATTACTCAAGTCTATACAACCAAACTCTGTACTTCACTGCTCTTTAACCTCCTGGTAAAAATAAGGTTGTATCTTTCCACAGAGCTTGTTGGAAACCATCGCTGGCCTGTGCTTTCTCTTGAAGCGTGCCTGGGTATGTCTGGGAGACTGCTAGCTGACACGGTCCAAAACTGTCCCAGGGAGGCATGCTAACAATTAATCAGAATGGGCAATCCTGTGGGAGTGTTTCAGCTACTGTTCACTGGCCCTGTTTGGTTTACTAGCACAGACATAGTCTTAAGACTCTAACCTTTGAATTCTTAATCAAGTAATACCTTTATTATGATGACTTAAAGGACTAGGTGCATTTGGAGTGGTTTACACAGACACTGGTCTTCTAAAAGAATAATGAGAATTCTGCCGAGCTTTCCGTCATGTCACTCTATGTTGATAAACCCCAACCATTGCTGCACGCTGCCATTGCTTCTGCTAATAACACCTCTGGAATCTCACTCTCCACTGGGACAGCCTGTAATCTCTCTGTGCTCAGCTACTATCAGTAAGAGGTGGATAAGAGTTGGATAAACAGCTGCAAATATACGGCACGACGAGCTAATGCGTCATGTATTATGTGATAATATCAAGCGCTAAACCTCCCTTGGGCTTAGCTGAATATCACAGGGTGGGAAGGAAAGAGAGAGAATTACTCACACCTAACTTTAGCTATCTGAAAGTGAGGTGTCTACGGGATCCCCACTGTATTCAGTGGAGAGAGGCACCTTCAGAGGAGATTTACCCCATCCTAAGAGAAACACCTGAGATAGGCAAGATAGGTTGGACTCTGGGTAAACCTCTACATTTCCACTGATTCTAGATGAATAACTTAGATCAGAAATCTAACTTTTAGTTGGCTATAGCTGGATGGTTTGGGTCAGTTTTGAAAGGCTACACACAGTGTTTCATAACATTTAACATGAAGACTATAACAACCTTCAGAGTTATCTCGCAAAACATCATTACATAAGATTTGGGATCAGTTCTTGGGACCATTTGGGCCCTGACTTTGGCTCTACAGAAATTATAGTTTAGTGTCTTAGCAGATATCAACAAGTCAAAAAATTCAGGCAAGGACACTGAGCTCAGTGTTTTCCCAGGAACACTGACTTAAAATAGACCTTCAAGACCAAATTTTGCATTCCACCAGCAAAGCTCCCTTTGTGAAGAATAGGAGCCCTGCCAAAACCTCAGTTTCTGTAAGCTATGATAACATTTTAGAGAAATTTCCATTAGGCTCTTCCAATTTAGCTTTTCTGTTCTACTACAAGTACATCTCCCATGTAGTTGTACAAGAAAGTAATGTTGTAAAGTACCTACTGTATGGCATCAATGCCATCATGCAGGGAGTAATACAACACAATAGCAAACTGGTTGTAAGGAGACTTACCCATCATCCTAAAATGGCAGGTAGGACACTGTGCAAGGACCTGGTTCAACTAAGGTGAAACTTAGGAGTAATTTCTGTAGAGCCAGTCATATTCCTCCACCCCAACTTATGAACTCCCTGAGGAAGGGCTCACTACTAGGATCCCATCAGTTACCTATTGTAAAGGACTAAAAGACTGGGGAAATAGAGGAGTGTCTCTTCGCTCTTTGCAGCAGATGTTAGGAGCCCCAACCTTGCTTCTCTACTACTTTAGAGAAAAATTGCACTGAGACAAAACAGGCAATTTATATATGCTCTGTCCAAAAAAGGCCAGTGGCTTACCTGATCCTTTTTGTTCAGTCCTCAACTCAAGGGATGCACTCCACTCCCTGTCTTGCTCCCCTACCCTGAAGAGAGGACCCTGAAAGAAGCCTCTACCACTTCCTTGGCACTTGACCAGACCAATCCCTCCCCTGCAGCTTGAGATGGCTGGGGCTCCATTCTGTATAGATTCTAGGGTTGGAAAGTTAAGCCACAAAGTGTATACTGTCATCAACAAATGGTCATATGAAACCTAGCAGTGGTCATCATGAAGGCTAGAGAAGAATAAGAAGATTACCACAATAGCAATACCTGTTTTTGTAAGAGGATGGGTTACCAACTGTCGCGTCAGATTGTTTTCAGATGATCGCAGTAGCAGCACAATATCAGCTGGCAGAGTATCTCTATTTTTGGCTAGGAATCCGCTTGCATTATATAGAACCTGTTTAAAAAGTGCTTTTATGCATCTTCTGGGCTTTTGAAAAGTAATTGTAAATTTAAGCATTCTGGCATGTGGCTTTTAATATATCAAGATACACAAATAGTTTTTCAGCCATTGGGCTCGCTTTTGCTTACGGTCTTTCTTTTGACCACTGAAAGTTCTTACTTTTCAATACTGAGAACCATTGATGCAGATCACTAAAAGCAAATCCATCATTCCAAAGTAGCTTGACATTTATTTTCCCTAATGCAGATATGTTAATATTAGTTTTAGCCACCGTGGATTTATCACTAAGACAAGTGTATTGTAATCCTCCTTTACACAGGAGTCATGTGTAAATGCACAATTAACAATGCACTTGATTTCAACCATATCACACAGGATTACCCATATGACTGTACAATCTTTCTGTCCCATTCATGTCATGCTGTACTGGACCCAGGACTTACCACTCTTCCTAGAGATCTCTGTATTAATTGTAGAGGAAGTTTGCAAAATCACAAACTGCATATTGGCAATTGAAGTATCTCTAAAAATTCCAGGAATGGTGTACCTAACTCAAAATGTACCTCTAGGGCTCTATCTCAATGATGTTGTAAAGGACCCACAAGAAAACCTGGCCTGTGAAGAAGGGTAGAAGATACTGGCATATTTAATTTAGAAAAAACCCTCACAAAACAACCCTTCAATTGTAACAGAAGTAACAGCCTTCAATTACAAAAAAAGCTTGTAAAGGAAGAGGAAATAAATTGTTCTCCAGTTCCACAGTAAACAGGACTAGGAGTAATGAATTTACATCACAGAAATGGAGATATAAATTAGACAGTAAGAAAAACTTCCTAATGAAAAAGCTTGTTGAACACTGGAAAGGGCCAATGGGGCATTGGTGGAATCCCCATCTTCAGTGGCTGGTATCAGGAATGGTACAGGGAGAGCTGGCTCTCTGCTCCTCAGCAGTGAGATATGCTATGCTGGTGAAGTGTAATCCAGCTGGAGATGAGGTTCAGAGGAGTTACTGCAGGCCTTTTGTAGCTGGCTGACTTACACAAGGGGCAAGTTATCTTCCATCAGCTGATGGGCAGTATGTTGCCTCTTTCCAGGCCAGCTGCTCCAGCACTGCACAGACCCAACATAGTTTCCTATGTGAGACAGCAATGCCCTCTCCATACCCTTTAAAAGAGCTCAAAAGGAGGTGGGAGCTCCTGCTTTCACGAGGCAAGGTTCAGGTAACCAGTGGCATCTTGCTGCAGTGCATCAGCAGCTCCTCCTGAGTTTGAAAGTCATGTGCAGCAAGTCACCTTGTACAGGAGGGCAAGATGCTGCTCATCAGATGAAGCAGAAAGCAGGGCATGCACTATCTATCTGGCTGATGACAAAGTACAGAACTAAGTGAGGATGATGGGGTGTAGGAGGTAGTAGAAAGAATGGAGCTGGATCCTGATTTGAAGCAGTGGGAACAGGCATGGCACAGGACTTTGAGGAACTAAGGGGAAAATGAGTTGCATTACATAATGGTTATGTTTTGGTTCTTCTATAATACAGTCAGTTCATTTACCTGCCAACATTTAAGAAGAATACACTCCTGCTATTGCTTTTTTTTATGAGGGAAAATAACTTTTCAGTTTACTTTTGATGTGTAAGGCACTGCCAACGTTTCCATGTCAGGCCTGAATAGATGAAGGTTGAGAACCAACCCAGCTGACCTCTTCTATTTCCTTCCAGCCCTACCATTCCACAATCCCCAACTAATATCATTAGGTCTCTTACCTTTCCTGCATAATGATAAATCCCAAAGGTTAGATCTACTCTTTTGGGTCTCCAAAAATATTTTGACTTCAAATTATCTTCAAATTTTTCTGAAAGGAAACACATATCTTGTCTTACTGGAGTTACTGTACGATAATTGTCTTCTGAAGCTGTATTCCTCTAAGGATATTGCCTGACTTGTCAGACAACGCAGAGGCACAAAACAGACTCTGATGTTTTTAAGGACGAAGATACCATAATGGTCTTGTAACAAAAGGCACTGGATAGCAAATATGGGAGCTTTTGGATCAGTTACTTAGTTTGTACCAATTTTTTTCTGTGTGACCTCAGAAAATTGCTTGCCTTTCTAAGCTTTTGATCTTCATATAGGAAACAATGTAGTAATCCTTCCTAAGGATTCCTTGGGGAATTGTGAGGAAACACTTACCACTTGATTGAGGCCTCTGTAGTGTAAACTAAAAAGTATAAGGATAGTAAGACAACAAGCTCATATAATTGCTTTAGCATGGGCATCGTTACTGGATGTTATTAGGTTTTGTGATTGGGTGTTGGTTAAAACTCTCATCTGACACTCTGCACATTCGAAAATGAGTAAAACAAGGATTTATCTGCACAGAAACCCCACTGAAATAACTAAATCAACTGTAACTGCAACTACTTAGCAGCACTGAAATATTCAGGATCTGATTTACAACATATTTAGGTGTTTTAATTTTAATTTCCGAATAGAAAAAAAAAGGAAGCATAATTTGCTGAAAGGCACTGAGGCAGGTTTGCAGCCAATACCCTTAAAAAGTACTAAAATTCTTGTTCAGATACGGCTCATCAAAAATCTCAGAACTGAACATGACTCAACTTTGAAAACAGTGTTCTTGGCATATGAACCTAGAGTTTTAACTCAGTTTGATCTTTATCTTTCAAGCCCTGCAGCTAAAAATTCCTGAAGGCAGGAGAATTCAAAACCTGGATCAGCAGCTTAGATTCATTTGTACTCTTGATGTTTCTCTGTCACAACTTCAAAAACACATCCATCCCTGCATGCATGCCTCCCACTAACATACTGTGACACTGCAATGGGGGCTCACTAAAAACATAACTAGCATATAGCCTAATCTGGACACGCCAAACAGAAATCTAACAGGGAGACATCCTGCAAAACTGTGAAATAAACCATATACTTACCTACAAGTGTCTGATCTGTTGCTTGTGGGAATCGACTTTCCTCATCCAGAAGGGACAATAAACCCATTGGCTTCTGCAGGAACATATCTAAGAGGGGCCTGTTGTCCTCATACTCTATAACTCTTGCATCAACACCTTCATATAGGTATTCATTCTGTAACGAGCAACAGAAGGCATGTTTTGTCTATGTATACAGAACCACTTCAGAAAATAATTCACAAAACTACATTGAAAAAGTATGCCCTGGGGCTCAAGACATCAAAGTTTTGCAGGAACAAATGTCAGTTGGGATGTATCACACTGTCAGGCTATAGATTTTAATTTGCCTTTGGGTATGTAAGTGCTGCCTATGGCATATTTGGTAAAGTAAGATGCTTTCCAGGAATATGCAAGAATTAAAGAAACAGAGTTGAAGAAGATAAAGTATAGTGTTTGCAGATGGAGACCTCAGTGTCTATTTACTTCCCTGGTCTGCAGTGTAGAAAATATTTCTTAATAATTTAGAGCTACATTTACATTCCCAATTTGTTGCTCAGATCTATGTGAGGTACAGTGGCCAAGATTTACAAAAATGACTACAGATTACAGAGGCCTCACTTGTTTGATCCCCCTCCTCAAACACCTGGAAAACTTCTTATGTGGAGAAGAATGGTGCACACACGTTCTAATAATGAAAGAATGGTGTACGTACTTTCTAAAAATTAAATAAATTGTCTCAGGTTGTCCTCTACAACATTTTCACTCCTTTTAAGGAACTAGGGAAAGGTATTCAGCAAGATTAAAAAACAATGGAAAAGCTGGCAAGGTTTTTTGTGTGTTGTTTTTTTTTTTTCTCCTGAAGACTGCAAATATCTTTGGATTCCTACCAGACTGAGAAAAACCTGATAATAAATGCTGTGTTCACAGTGTGTTGCGATGGTTTTATCTTGAAAATAACTTAAATTATAGCTGAAGAATACAAGAATGACGTTCTTTAATCCTTCAGCAAGGCAGAGGACAGCTGTAGACTTACCAAGAGAAGCATAAATATAGCATTATTTTTGCCTGCATTACGTAATGCAATAGGAGTTATCCACTGCACAGTGCTCCCATATATACCAGGGCAGCCTTCAGTCCTGTGCAGGCTATACTATGAAACACATAATTAAGCCTTTTGATCTACTTTAAAAATCATCCCTCTTCCAAAGGATAGGACTTTATAAAAGTGTTGTATTAATGTATGGTGTTAACATCACAGTTGTGCTATCCTGAATTCATTGTGAAAAGAGTGTCATAAACATGAATGATGGCTAATATTAACAAGTTCAAAGACCTCTAACCCTGAAAGACCTCTCCTTATGTGTCATTCACTTGAGTTTGAATGAGTGAAGGCGGCAATATATTGAGCATTTCGAAAAGGAGTTAACTGCCACATACAACAGAAAAGCACATGTTATTAGACTTCATACCTCTTAATCTCTAAGCCAGAGAGAAACAGCAAAATAAATAAAATCAATAATGCTGTCCCAGAAATACAGGCCCAAATAAATAAATCTGCTGATCCATTTGAAAGGGAAGACAGAATGTATACCTAAACCCTTCCAGTATCCAGATTGATCTAATTTCCCAGGACACTCTTCACTCTAAGGATAGGTTATGGCTCAGTTTATATGCCTGTACAAGGGTGTAAGCAGTAAGAATCTCTCCTACAGCCCCATGAGGGCTCCTCATCTCAGACATGTAACATCATTAACTTCATTCATGTCTCCCTCGGAGCAGTGGACAGGTGGAGTTTTGGTTTTTATTTTAATCAGTGACTTGAGTAGCAGGACAAGACAAGGAGAGTAATAAATGTATCACTGATATAGGCAAGAAGTTAATCATACACCTGTAGGAGCTAGTGGCAGGAAGGGAATGAGTCCATGTTATCTCCCAAAGATAACACCGGAGTAGAGGCAGCTTAACCGAGGGCTACAGCTGTACTGACACACAGATGTTACGTTCATGAAACCAGCTGTTACTGCTTAGGATTATCAAGAGTACCCTTATCAAGGGGGAAAAAGGAAGAGATTGCTCAGGATGAATCTATCGGAGAAGAGTGTTTCTGTGACACTCAGACATGGGGAAAAGGGAAGAGATTGCTCAGGATGAATCTATCAGAGAAGAGTGTTTCTGTGACACTCAGACATCCTCAAACAAGCTCTCACAGACAACCTATCTAATGATTAACTTTTTCCAACTTCAAATGCTTGTGAGAGAGGCTGGTTTAGAGAGCTGATAAAAGAGTTGTCCTCGAAACTGAAAGGAGGTCTGTAATAGCTGTACTACTACACCGTAACAGCAACATCTGCTCCCCTCCCTGCCTGGCCAGTGCGCAGGGCCTGACCTCCAAGCCTGCAGAATATGTGACCATTCGGTCTTTTGTGTCTGCACCTCGACAACTGAGTGAGTGTCAGCACCGACGGTTTCGGTAATGCTGCTGTCTGCCCAGTAGGATATGGAAGGAGTTCACTCCATCACTTCCCATGGGCTCCTGGAGGACAGCTGATAACCAAGTCTCCCAGGCACCACTGTGACAGATGGCTCAGAAATAAGATACCGTATTACATTTTCTTATGCAATGCTGGTCTTCAACCATATTATTAGGATACAAGCAGCAAGGATAAAAGCCTTAACGATGCACATCATAAAACTGTAATGAAATAGATCTTATTTGAGTTAATAAGCTGAATCAGCTACAGGATTCTGTAATCCCCCATGATGTTTTATGACAAGAAAGCTCCTTAAAATAGCAGCTGCTCATTGAAATGCTAAAGCATAATCCACTAGAAGGTATTCCTATGGGTGGGAATGACTGAGTTGCACTAATACTTGGGCTCCTATCTCATCTCAGTATTGCATGGTATCTTTTCTGTGATCAAAACTTGGTAATATTAGCTTGTGCAATCTGGTTTCACTTAATAACAAAAGAATTATTAAATGCATTAGGAAATGGTCTTCATGTTTAATAAAAGTAATGGCATTTTGCCGAGAACATGGTATGATGACACTTTGGTTTAAATGGGAACACCGGAGACTTACTCAGAATGAACCTTTTCCAGCTTAAAGTAGAAGATTAAATTGTCATAAGAATGTAAAATAAACATTGCATATATTTAATGCAAAACTGACAGTAAACTTGCCACTTTCCAAAATGTTTTAGGTATTTGACATTACACCTTTGTCTTTTTATGGAAGAATCACAAATAAGAAAGAAATGGGAAGGTTGTCTTGCTGGACAATGTTACTTTCAGATCATGGAGCTCACAGAATTAACTTACATCAGTACCTTACAGGAAACACCTTGAAGGACAGGACTGAAGGTGCAAAAGTTGTGCTTTGCTTAATATTAACCTAAAAAAAGCTTGTGCCAGCATTCATTCCAATTAACTATAGACACATAAAAGAAGTGACTGAGAGCCCACATTTCCTCCCCAGTCAGTGGAGACAGAGATGTAACTATTTGTCTCCACTGACTATCGGGAATCTAAACTGTCTTTGTCTTAAACTATACTTCCCACTTCAGCCTTTCTGTTAAATTAGGGAAAGGAGACTGCATTCAGGCCTAAAAGCCTTTATTCTTAAATGCAAACATTAAGTCAACAATAAAGAATAAATTCCCTTAATTTTGACTTGAGTTCTCCATGTTGGCACGCAGACACTGCTCTAGCAGACATCCTGAGCCTCGGATGGTGATAGTACCACTGTTTCTTCCTACTATTCCTATAATTTCTGAGGCCATATTTTTGTAGGCCACACTTCCGAGGAAAGCAAAACTGTGAATGCTTTTCAGATTCAGATACAGAAAAGAAATCTCTGACAATGCTAGAAACATGTCACCTGCAACACTGAAAGTACAATTCAGCCTTATGAGTTCATTTACTATTTGGCTTCATTGCTCAAGTTGCCAAAAAATGATTCACCTTCCCTAGTTATATAATCACTACTTATTAGGTTGACATGGGTGAATTGAGAACTAGACTATAATCAACTGATTTAGGCCTTGACTTCCCACTAGATATGTCAGATTTCATCTAATTGCATGTGGTATGGAATGGAACAGGGCAAAACAGGGAAAGAAATGAAGAAATAATGTACCTATAAGTTTTACTTCTCTTGAGGGAAGTGTGAAAGAAATGAAATTCTGCAGTCTTCCTTGGGTAGGTCTACTGGGTGCAATGCAGTGTCATGTTAGAGATTTCTGAGATAGCACAGAGCAATCTGACATGTCTGTCTGGCATTGCACAGGGCTGTGGAGAGATATTAGCCTGGGTCCCCAGCAACAGGGAACCTCCACCAGCATGACAGTCAGCTTGGGCTAATGAAAAGTCAATGCAAAGGTCTTGGTGATTGCTGGCATCAGCCTTCTCCTAAACATAACTCCTGTCTTTTAGTATTAAAGACACAAACCCTTACATGTGTATAAAGTCAGGCAGACACATCAGCAAAGGGCAGGGGTCATCCTATTGTTTGGCTTTTACATAAGTGATACTTTGCATTATTAACAAGAACAATTTCAGTCACATGATTTTGAAAATATTTCCTTTTTTTCCATATATAGAAAATTTAGTAATTGTATTTTAAATTTTCCTGCAAATAGCTTTCTCTTATTTGTCTGCAGGGAGGGCCTGTATTTACAATTAAAGTACATTACTGGTGTTAACACAGGAGAGTCTAAATCTGACAACAGGAGGACGACTGCAAGGTTACAGCACATCACATATGCCTTTCCTTTTCCTACGAGCCCACCAAAGAAACAGACTGTAGGCATAAAGATGTATATATTCCAAACAATCAAAACCAGATAATGACCTTGCCTAAAGATTACAGGGGCTGAAGTAAATAAGGTTCTGAGGCAAAGAACCACTCCATAACAACTGATGATTGCTAAAGGGTGTAAAAGATCTGTCCAAAAACTATTTCAGCAAGAACAACCTAAGAGACATGATGAAGACTTGCTAGCTCGTGTCCCTTATTCTCTGTGTCGCTCACAAATGATCCTGGCCAGACCACTTGAACACACACATCCTGGTGCTTTCTACGTGGGTGTGAGTCAATGAAATCTATGAGAGAATGAGTGGGAGTGGGTAAAATTGACATACTTAGAGATTCTGTAAATAAAGATCACCTTCCCCTTCCATAAGGTCTGTAATTGTCATACTAATTTCCTACAAGGAGAAATGGGTAAACTGTATCTTGTCAAAATCAATTCATTTCTTCCCTAATATGCTCAGTAGCCCTCTCTGCAGCAGGGCATGTGCAGGAGAGCAAACTGTTCCTACTAGATGGTAACACCACAAACCTTTATATTAATATAGGTCTGGCCAAAATGTTCTGTATTAGGATATCTAGAAACAAGTGAAGGCAGATTACACTGAACAGGACCCAAGTCTAATCAAAAAAGAGAAGGAATATTAAGACAATATTTGGGTATACAGGGATAGGGTTAGGAAAGCCAAGGGTTAGGAAAGCCAACAGCAGCAAAAAGGCAACTAGGGAAAATGTGGGCCTGCTGCTGAGCGGGCGTGGATGACATGGAAAAGACTGAGATACTCGATGCCTTGAAGAAGGCCTTGACTGATAATCCCAGGTCCCTGAGACCAGAGGGAAAGTCTGGAGCAAGGAAGACTTACCCTCGGTGGGGGAGGATCAAGTTAGAGAACATTTGAGCAAAGTGGACGTATGCAAGTCCATGGGACCTGGTCAGTGCCTGGATTTGACAGGAATAAATAATGGTGCTGCAGTCTGTGCTATTTCCATCTTCCAGCTGTTAGAAACAGCAGTACCCAAGTGTTCTTTTTGTGTGAATTTATGCACTTTGGAAAGAAGATGCCTAAGGAATTATAGTAGTTCAGGCCAATTTCTCTCTGACTTTTAGATGGTATTAAAGGCAAGGAAATACTTGTGACTGAGAATCTCCCACATAAATCTATAAAAACAACTAGAAGGTCTAAGACTGCCAGACAGCATTTCCTGAAATAATCAGAAACAGGACAAAACATTGATCCATATAAAAAAAATTGCCATTTTACACAGATATATACACCTCTATTCTGACACATGCATGTACACACCTACATACATAGACACATTCCAAACTTGTATGTGTCTCATCCTTAAAACAAGCAGTGATTAACACTGACAAAATACTCTTCTTCTACTAATAATTAAAATTAGTATTCAGGAGGATTTTCATCTATGTATCATAAACTCCAATAATTTCAATAAAACAGAGAAAGTATTATTTCACCTAAAATTTGAATATTGACTGTTCTGCTCATGCAGAATTCTGGAATATTTCTATTTTCAGCAAGATTAATATTTTTTCCCTGGACATGTTATTTCTTCAAATAACAATATTGAATAATGATTTAAAGATGGTTAATTTAATTCTCATGGAATTATTTACAAATTTGAGATGATCTTTTTTGAGGTTTTTCACTCTCCTCTTCAATTTCATAAACTTTTATAATTACAAGTATATTCCTTTGCTCTGTTTTACATCAAATTATTTAGATTAAATCCATCATTATTTAGCTTAGATGATCTAGTTCCTGAATAAGAACAAAATAATTGCGAGACTTTCAGTTTTTAATAATGGAATTTCAGTGTTCATTAAACTTATGAGTAAGCTATTATAAACACTGCACTTTAAAAATTATGTTACTCATTTATTTTTTTATTGTAGAATCATACATTACATCACTCAGGTTATTCCTCAAGAAAACAGCATTGCATTTGCATCAAACCAATTATCAGTGTGTTATGTTGCTTAGATACTGTAAATTTCAAGTTTAATGCATTTTATGTAGGCATTTTACTTGCAAATAGCAAGCACTGCTTCACAGAATACATACTCAGAAAACATTTCTTATAATCTGCAATTTACAACCTATTATGGAGAAGGAACAATGTAGTTCCTTGAGACAAGGTTTTATATGTTCAGCAATATTAAAGCTTTATTAAAATATTCAACTCATACCTGTTCCCAGGCAAAAACGTGTTGATTGAAGTAGAACTGAATTTGTTCATTGGCAATGTTGATACAGAGTTGTTCAAAAGAATTTTTTTTGAAATTCTCAAAGCCAAAGATATCAAGAATTCCAATGTTCAAACCATCATCATTTCCACTGCAAAGATTAAATAAACTTTCTATTGTTGTATCTTTATTTTACATGGACTAACTTCATTATTATTTCACAAAAGGAAATAATGGGCCAAATCTGTATGCCAGTTAAACAGGATAATTTTTGCTAAACCAGATATCTCTTAAAATAACAATCAATTTTTGTACGCAATACAATAAATGCACATCAATTCAAAGATGACTGTATTTGCAGGTCAGATAGATACACTGAATCACATAATGACCAAGTCAATTGGTAAGCGTAAAGAGGATTTACAATTTTATTTTTAAACTAATATTTGCTAAAAGCTGACCACAGTACAGAAACAGCATGCAGTTCTTTTTGTTTCTCTTGTAATAAAACAGGCTTTACCCACCAGCATTTTGAAATGAGATTTCTGTCATTAAATATTATTTCTTCATATTAAATATTCACAACAATTAAAACTGCTTATTTTAACATGAAAGACAAAAGAATGAGTAGCTAGACCTTTTATGCATCTAAATAACTACTTTAATACTGGAGTGTGGTATGAATTTAAATTACCTATTAAGTTCCAGAGAAGTACTACTAGTAAAAACTTCAGTCTGAAGTTTTAGCTAAGGCATTCTGAGAGATACGTGGTCATTTCTTCAACTGGAAAAAAGCTCTAATATTTGTATTTATTTGCTGAAACAAAAAATTAAGAGGATATAATTTTATATCAAACTGAAGTTGACATTAGTGTCTTTTCCTAGCTAAATTAAAAAAAATAAATCACATTCTATCTATAAAACCCCTTTGAGGGGCTATCTGTAACCAATTTTTTTTTTTAATAAAAAGTTTAGGAAATCGGATATGAAGAAACGGCCTCATGAATAGCACTCGAACCTCTTTGTGAAGTCCATCTCAAAAATGGAAGTGTTTCGTTGTGGAGGGATCAAAGGTATTTGTTGATTTTGACCTGAATTTGGTGACTATTTTATCTGTCTGGAAATTACATTTTTGGTGAATAAACTGCTGAAATTTGTCTGCCCCGTTCCTTCTCAGAGCTAATTACATAACAATAGCAAATACAAATTATATTACTACCACAAAACCAAAGCAGACTTCTGAACATTTCAGGTCGAACTTTCTCCCTCCTCACCAGCATAATAAGTATTCAATTTGAAAAGGGCTCTGTAACAGGCATGTGAGAGAGGCACACAGGCTAGCAGTGCTGCCCCATCTATCATGAATTTTATCCTATCACTTACTGATTAAAGTTCTGTTTATTACTGCTCTGCTGTAAACAAATATTTGAAAGTTTAGACAAACTTTAGGATTGCAGCCTTGGCTTTCCTCTGATGTTTAAAAAAAAAATCCAGAAAATCTAGATTTGCAAACCAAAGCTATTTATTATTGATATTCCTCTTCAGGTAGTTATCAGTTTGCCCCTTTTCACTGCTATTATCAGCCACAGTGGGCCCTGACCTGTAGGATCTACAATGCAAGCCACATTATTTCTTCTTCGATTAATTTGCAAAATGTGTTATATCCTCATTCCCAATATCTTTCTTGTCTCTGTGTTTAAAATGTCACCTTGTAACGGTAGGGTGGACATTAACCTCAGTAAATGTGTTCGGAAACTACTCTCACATATATATGAAACCACACTCATAACAGCAGCAACAGAAGCAATAGCATCAGTGCAAGTAAGAGCAGAATTTAACCTATGCAACCAACAGATGATTGTCAAAAGTTGACCCTGAAAAAGTATAAAGGAAAAAGTAGTCAGTATGCAATTTACAAAGGGTTAAATGAGTAAAGGTCAAACAGGAAAACAGCAGACGCCTGTGCTATCCATATATACTGTATTTTCACTGCATACTATGAACAGGATAAAACCTTCTTTTTTTAACATGATGGTGTCATAAACAAAAAGGTAGCAGAGAAAAAGTAGGTGAGAACACTAAATGCTGTAGCGTAGATGATATTATTCCTACAGAAAATCTCTCTTTATTCTGGAAAAGCTTCTTTTACCTTAAATGTTTGTCAGGTTTGAGTAAAGTGTTGATGCGATTGACTATCCAGCTAAAGAGGCGCCCATACAGTGCTTTGGCCATGGCGTCTCTGACATCAGTGGCTTTTTCCACAGTGTTGGGACGAATAATTGTTTCTCCTCGAGTCACTACACAGTGAGAGGTGAGGGCCTCTTGCAGCTCATCTGCCTGAATACACAGCAAGGACGCACCTAGGAAGGAAGGTCACAGGCATAGCTCAGAGGCAGATTTTGGAAGGAAAAATATGCATTTTTGCAATCAAAGCTGCAAGTGCAACGTATTATGAATAAGGGCCAAATCAAAGTCTTGAACTATGACTAATGAGGGTGTTCACACCAAACAACTGTCAGTATCTAATTTAGTCACCAACCTTCCTAGCTTCCACTGCAGTCAATGAGTAAGTGATTCAAAGCAGAGGCCTTTAGGTTCTAAATTGCTTTATCAAGGAGGCTCTTTCTCCAAACTGTCTACAGAGAAATGCTAGGGAATCTAGGTGACTATGTCAGGCGTATGTAAGTTGTGAGGTGTGAATATCCCTCTCAATTATAATCCATCCATATAAGCCACTGCTGTCCTCCTTTTGCTCCAAAAAAGAGGTGCTTCTTTCCCAGTTCCACAATATTTTTCTATCTACGGCAGGAAAACGTGTAAGAACATAGCATGAAGACTTCATTATCTCCCCACCTGTAATTACTGAGAAAGAGTAGCAACTTTCTTGAGAATCTTTGCCCCTTTCCCTCCTCTGCCTCCTGGCAGCCTGTAATGTAAGGTATCCCTTCCAAAGAATTAGTGAGCCATATTTCAACAGGCACATGTGGGGAACAAGTAATGAGCATCTGAGAAAGAAACTGGGAAAAAACTATTCAATGTGTTAATGAGGTCCTCCATCAAATGCTCAAATAACCTTGGAAAAATTCCAAAGATTTTCTTTTCAGGCATCTGCAGTATTAGTCGTGTTTCCTGAATGTCAGTGACCTGGTTAGTCAAATAAGGCACATAACATGGAAGATTTTTTCTTTTTGCATTTGAATTCAGGTGGGCTTGGAATTAATCTATCTTCAGCATTTAATTACTCTTGCAAAATTTCCATGTGAATACAGTTTTCATTGATAACTCTCTTGCAATAAAAGAAATTCGCTATCAAAACACTAAAGGAAAACAGTCTTAAATCAAGAAAAAATACTCACAATTCTCAAGGGCTACTGGATTGGAAATGTTGCTCTTGTCAATCATATGTTCAGATACCACTGCAGAAAATTCAATGTTACCCACATTTAAAATGGCAGCCAGGACACTGTACACACTTCCAAGTTCCTGAAAAGTATATTAAAAAAGATGCAATACTTAACAGCCAGATAGATTTGTCACTTTGGTTTGCGTGATGGGCACGTGTGTGTGTTGTTTCCTGTTGTCTGCCACCCGCCCCCTACTTTTAGGAATACTGTTCTCAGCAGTTATTCCCTGTTCTGTACTCAGCATAGTCTTTCAAGTGTAAGACGCCCAAAGAGGGCAAGACAACCTATAGCCTAATCTCTCTTCCATACTTTTTGACTGGACAGGATTGACATGGAGTAGGAGAAGCACAAAACAGTGGTGAACATAATCCGCTTACACAGAAAGAATTCAGAGGTTATTTATACCTACTGTTCACTGTGCCTGCAGGCACCACTGTGTCTAAAAATGTGATACCTAGATCAACAAAAATATAAAAAAATCTGCATCTATGTTTCTTGGATCACGGAAGCAAAGGTACTCCAAAAAATAGGTCTGCAATGGCTCCCACCGACGTCATCAGAAAAAGTTTCACTGGGAGAAGAGTGAGACCTCACATCTGATTTGGCAAAGCACTTTACCCTTCAAAATGTCAGTTAGGAACTGTGTACTCACCAAAGCACTTTAGTATGGACTTTACTTGAACATATTTAAATTTCAAATGATTTAGTAGGTTCTGAAGGGGATTCTGCCTTGAAAAAAGGCTAATATTAGTCTGGACAGTGAAGTGATTCAGTAAATTATTTTAAGTACTTATATATGACAAAATCATATTTGCAATTAATGAAACAATGTTTTCATTGCAGGTTTGACTTAGATTTGAACTGTGAATTTTCATCTGAACTGTGAACGTTTATCAGTATACTTGATCATCTCTGAGTATTTTCTACTCAGAAATGCTGAGGTGTTCCTGTAAAGCAGACTAGGTTTTAAGCTAGGAATCTGTGATAAGATATATTCTGAGGCACGCAGTAATAGTGTATTTTATAAATAGCAGTTTTATAAGTTTTATAGTAGTCTTATAAGAAGCAGTTTTGTAAATTTGATTGGTATTTTATAACAATGGACTTTTCATAATTGCACAGCATTTTATCCCTAATATTCAATAGTTTGCTGGTACCACGTCAGGCATCATTTACTCAGATAAAGTCCTTAATTGCTCTAGAAAACTTGTTTTCAACACTTTCAGAAGTTAATCTAGCAATTAATAAATTAATTATTCCAGTGACAGCAGGACAAACTAGATAAGCTCACTCTAAAAAATTATGCTCAGGATAACTGGCACACAGTTTACCTAGGTTTTAAGCAATCATTTTCATTTTAAGCTTAGGGACACAGATGAAATGCAAAGAAATGGATAGCTTAACATCTGCCATTATGCTGTACAGTATGTATAGCTGCTGACATTTTTGTGCCCTTTTCCAGTATGTTTGAAATCTGGCTTGATCTGTCTCATACAGCATGATTATTGTCCACCTCAGGCAGTCCTTTCCTATTAATTTGGCCATGCAGCCTGAAATAAAACAGTGTGATTTTAAGACAGGGAGTACTGACAGTAGTTACTATTAAAGCCTGCCAGTTAGTTAAAAACAAATTTCAAAGAAATAAAGCCTTGTTTAGGTCTCAGTTTTAATTGGAGTGGAGAAGATATTCTGTCCAAGGTTTTCTGCTAATAAAACACAGAACATGCTTATATAGAAACTCCTCTATGCACTGGGATGAATGTCAAAGCTTAAGGCTGCATTACTAAGAAGTGAACTTAGAAAAGCAACTAATTGTCTTACAGTATCTTTTTCTCACTGAAAATAAATTGTTTCTGCACACGTATCCTATATCAGAACCTCAGTGGGGGAAGAGGACTTCTCTATTCCTTCACTCTTGCAAACACAGCCTCAGACAGGCTAATTCATCCTGTGGAGAATGTAAGACAGGCTAACATGGATGGGGCTCACATGTAACCGCAGTTAGATTGCCTGTGGTACTCAACCTGCTTCTGAAACTGTGGGGGTTCTACAGGTAGATAATAAGTGAAGATCCATGCTAGAACTGCACAATGTGGCCAGTGACCTAGTTCTAACTGGATCTTCAATATGTAAGGAAGGTCTTCTCTTTTGGATGATCAGGATTATTGTTTCCATCCGTCCAAGTGAACAAAAGAACCGCGAACAAAAACAGACTCGCTGCTTTTCATGGCATAAATTAGGACTTATCAAGGTCTCTGGTGCTGTGACAAAACTGCTATCAGTGCTGAACTGTGCATATCCTTCCACGCTGCTTCTGGAAAGGTAAAAATACAGACGTGAAAGGATGTGATAGCACAGGTGTGATATTACTAAGTGCAGTTGTGAATAAGCATGTAGAGGAGGAAGAGACTGTGAACTCCACTGCTACTATGACTTAATGCAAAATGAGTATGGAGGAACAGAATAGGTGAATAAATCTGTTCTGCTAGCTATTCAAATATTTACATTGAGGGAAGCCTGAAATATTCAACTGAAGTGAGTAATTTTCTGTGAAAAGCTCCTTACAACATGCAGTTTTGTCAAAGAAATGAAAACACACATCCATTCTGCAGCACTAGTGCTATATTTCACAGATACTATTCGGATCATACTCCTACTATTGTTTGTGACAAATAAAGTCAGTGGTAAACTACAGCTGTGATGTACCACTTCTCCTAAGAAAAGAGAACTAGGGTGCAGGATGGGGTTTCCTTCCCTTGCATCCTCCTTGATAAATCCAGAGGCCTGTTCTTATTTTAATTATACCAAAGACAGCCTGAGGAGAGGGTTTTAATGGCCAGCAGAGCAATGATATGAGATCATAAAGAAAGAATGGGTTCAGTTAATGTTTAGTGATGAGATTCACTCCAAAGGGACGCAAAAACTTCATTCACCTTTACCCCTGAAGTTGTGAAAATGTATTGAGTTCATCAAAACTCAGATCAACTCAATGAATTTTTAGAACTCTCACCCTGGACTTCATCTTAAAACAGAGATGAGGCTTATATTCACAGGCCTAAAATTATAGGCTAATAAATAGTTACAACATCATTTGCTATGCATTTAATTTGCAAAAGCCTTTTTTCCCAATTACTCAGCTGTGCTGTGTTCACTCATTTCAAAGTCTTATTGACTAATACCATTTTATTAGTTTATCAATGCCTTGAAACCTTAAAAATTTAAATGTGGTAATATAACAGTAAGCTGACCATGCAATATCCTAAAACATAAACACACTACTGCTAAAGGAAGAAAATAACAAGGGAGATTATTTGAAAGCTTTATATAAGTTTTTCCTGATTAAGGTAGCCATTAAAGTTCACGAAAAAAAAGGGTTATCAGCACTCATGTCTAGCGTAAAACCTATGCTAGCGTAAAACCTATGACTTTGAAGCACTGTTCAATTAATTCAAACTGAGACTTATAAAAGCTATTGTTCATGAAATCTTGCACTATTCTGAAATGATCGTTTTGCAGATATCTGAAAGAGTTGATGGATACAGAGTTAGAATGTAAATGAGGTTGAGAATTCAAGAACACTGCATTTCTTAGTAATCAGTTTATGTAAAAATAAACTGCATTACCTGGGAGGTCTATATTCTGGCAGTTTATAATGTGCCAGTTTTTTCTTTTCCGCCAGACCAGCATAAATATAATAAAAAATATGGAAATTCTTCTCTCCTCTGAAACAACAGAAACAACAGACTGGTTTAGTAATGTAACTATGTTACATTTACTGATGACATACATGCTATTATTAAATGTTGTTTTAATAACAGGCAAGGCTCATGCAAACTGACAGAGGACTCTGAAAGAAGCTTTATTACACAAGTTCCTGTGAAGTGAACACCCTTTCTGTGCCATTGTGTGTTTATTCTGAAGCTGCCAGGGCAGCTGCTCGGTAGCAGCAAAATGCTGCTCTGCCTTTGATGTAATTGGTAGATGCTGGGTGAGATCTTGCATGTTGTTCACCCACCTGCACTAAATTGGCTGCTTAACCTCCAATTATTTTAAAAAATCTTCTGACCGTGGGAGAGCTATACACTCCTGATTCACTGAATCCAGTATGTTTGCTGTGTCCTTTAGCCTTGAACCAAGAAAGCACATAAGCAGACATTCAGCAAAGGGCCTTATGACTTGGCATGCTTTGCCTAAAAGTTAGGTGCGCAAACCCAGAACAGAAGGTTCATTGCACATCCAAGGCTCCTGTGCACCTTATGAGGAAGAACTGGATGCTTAGGTGGAAATTTGCAACCACCACGGAACCCTGAGATGGCCAAATCAGGCACTATGAAATGGCAAAAAGGAATTGTGTTCAAACCCCTGGTTTCTGCATGAGCTGAGGTCTGTGTCTCAGGAGCACCACTACATGCTTCTGTGAAAAAGGATCAGAGCCCAGTGCACTCCTCTCTGCATGGGTGTGCCTAGATCAGAGTCCAGTGCCAACTTAGTTTGCATATTTTACTGTGGACAATCAGTAGTAGAAAACAAGATCAATTTAAGGAGTAGGAGCAGATCCCTTACCTTCCCCCTGAGTGTCTTAACCACTACGTTGCATAGCCATGCTTTGCATGCTCTCTGAAACCTCACTGTGTCCTGACGGTTTGTGTATTCTCTTGGAAAGGTAGGGGAACCTGTAGGTTCAAAATCTCTTGGCTTGAAGTGGGTCTGGAACTTGGGTCTCCCATTTTCTGTGTAATCAGTCACTGGTTTTCTGCAAAAAGTAATTCCTAGCTCTCCATGTGAGTTTGGGAGTCATGTTCTCCCAGAAGAGCAGAACAGACTGCCCTTGCAATGCAGGTACCCGAACGCCAGTTCTCTGCCCTGGCATGGCTGCATGGACCAGCCACACAGAGACTCAGGCTAAACACATCGGTGGCATTTTCTTGTGAATTCAGACATCTAAACACCTACCTAAATAGCATTTGAGGCACGTAAATGCTTTGCCGACTTCCTGCCTCAGCATGTGGCTAAATATAAATACAAACTGACAGCCACAGAACAGACCCATGAGAAGTTATGAAAAAAGTAGCATTTTAAGGAAAAAGCTGATTTTATTCTGAAAAAGCAGGTTCTGTGCTTATGTTCAACTGGGGAAAAAAACACCATTTCATAAAATTGCCTCTAACTTTAAATTGTTTATTGAAACATTCCAAGTGATACTTAGATGTTCTTCATCTCACAAATCTACAACAGGCAACAAGGTCATGCAGAACTACAAAAAGAGTAAAAATGAGTAAGAGATCAGCAAGGGGAAAAACTTATATCAGCGACAACATTTCTCGTCTCAAACTCTGTTTATCCTATTGTTATTATGGCAGAAATAGAGCTGCCAAAAAATTTTTTATCTGGATGTGCTATACATTAGGATAGAAAATACATGTCAATAATTTAAATTAATTGGAAATGCCATTTAATTTTTCCGTCATTTTATATTATGAGATACACATATGACAGAGGTGGACCTGTTCTGCATTTGGTCCATAACCCTTTATAACCAAATCCTACTAGAAGCTCCAAAATGGAAAATGAGCACTTTGCAAACAAACAAACAAGCTATAATACTAGAGGAAATGTAGAGGAATTAAATCCAAGTGATATACTTAACACAATGCTTCAAAATTCCACGAAGAAATTTATAACTGAACTATTAGAAAGTTTTTTATTCTTTACACATTCTGATACACTTTATATATCACATACATATACATTTTTATGAGATTTGTTTAAATAACCTAGGAGGCAATGAAAAAAAAAATCAGGAGTAGCTTTCAGCGTGCTTACAGATTTATAAGCTATTCATAGATCATTTATAAGAAAAAATCCCAGTACCTTATTCATCTTCATATTTTGATCCAAGATAATTTCCTGCATTGTAGGCTTACTCTGTAACCCCCAAATTAGATCAAATATAATTTTTATACTTACACTGCCTGGTGGACAACTCTGGATTTTTCAAGGAGATACTCTGAAATCTGAGCTCCTACTACAGTGCCACCACAAGTAAATTTCATTTCCAAATATTTTCCAAATCTGCTCGAGTTATCATTGATGATAGTGCCTGCATTCCCAAATGCTTCTACAAGGTTATTCACCTGGAGGATCTTCTCCTGTAGAGTCCTGTTATTAGCCTGGATATGAAAAAGATATTGCTTAAAATTATCAGTAATCATTCAAATACATTCATTCTTAAGTGTTTCTTTCCTCTTCTAGTTGGTATTGTGAAGTGTGACATCACCAGGGCAGCCATTCCCATGTGAATCATATGGAAAGAACGGCAAGTACATATCATGAAACCTGTCAGAATATAGCAATCTACAGAACTAACGGCTGTCTGGAAGAGGTAACACACAAAATGATAATGACAACACCAGAACTAATCGATTTCTGTGGTCCAGCACTCTGAGATGGCCAGCCTGCTTTTAGGATCCTTGTTAGCATGTGCTTACTGCTGCGCTGCACCATACCAACAGATCAGTTTGGTTCTGTCTCACCTGGGACATGCAAAAATGGCATTTTATTTAGACAATTATGGTGGTCACTTCCCAGAATGACCGTGTCCCACTGACAGCAATCTGGTTGTGGAAGGAGGTGAAAAGCTAGAAGAGTATTTTATTTAGTACAGTTTGGGTGATTTGAAGACACTCAGTTCAACAAGGGACAGACTAACTCACAGCCCTCACTGCAGTGGGTACTTCCTTGCGGAATCCCCAAAATATTTTCAAGTGACCCTAGTTCAGGAGGGAGGAAGGGTAGATAGGTCAGCATCACGTTCCAATCTGATCTTACAGAAGTTCTTTGGAAAATGTGTTACAGTCTTGCCCCCGCTACCAATGCCCTGTCCATAGGTTCAGTCAATTAGGCCTAAGATAGCAAAGCCTGACGGAGGCATCCCCTTTGAAACATACCTTGCCCAGCACAGTGAGCTGCTGAACCAGAAGATGGGCACTTTGCGTCTTGCCAGCTCCACTTTCTCCAGAAATAACGATACACTGCAGAGAACAAGAGCGTGACTCTGAGCTCATTACATATCTCTCAGCCTAGCAAAGGATATAATTAAGACACCTCATCTTTACCTGATCGGAGTTGTATGTCACCATGGACTGATAACCTATGTCAGCAACAGCAAAAATATGAGGAGGGTTGGCAGTCCGTTTGGCTCCAATATACAGTTTGGAATGCTAAGCATAAGAAAAATGAAAACATTATCAATGTCCCTTAACAACTTTTTTTTAATCAGAATTTAGTTTTATTTTCAGATTAGTGTACAGCATGCTTAGGTTACCAGCAGTGGTGTTTTCTGAGTGAGCTGTCACTGCGCTCCCTACACTATGAATCTGTATGTACTTAGTACTATAAGAACTGCTAAAAATGATGAAGCACAATTTTGTATGATGTCAGCCCTGATTATGCTATGAAACTCAAATTATTAGAAGAAAATTTAATGTTGCCAGACATCAAGGACCAACTTATAATTTCATTTTATTTGTACTTCACATCCTCTTAGTATTTCTGCATGATATTGATGTCAAAACTTAAGATCTTTTCTGTACCTGTAGTATCTGGTAATTAATAATGCCAAATTATTGTATGACCAGACTTTCATATCTGTTCCCTTTTGTACAATGGGGAGGCAAATTCACAAAAGCTAAAACTTTACAGGGTTGCTTTGTGAACTGTCTGATCAATTAAATAGCTATGGCTTCCCCAGCTCTCTTGGGAGAAAATGCACCCAGCTCCTACCTCCAGCCATTCACAGAAATTCTCCATGGGAAGTGGAGGAGAAGGAATGCTCCCTCCCACAAAAAGGGGTAAGATTCACCTGAATAAATGCACTTATCTGTACAGATAATACTTCTGAACTAGCTGCTATGGGCAGCTAGAGCCTTTATACTCTGTGGGGTTCTAGTCAAGAAATCTCATGAAGTTTAGCACGATTCATCTCATCCTAGAATGAATGTTGAAAGTCACTAGAAGAACAATAACCTCAAAAATCCTATTTCTATCCATTGATTAAAATGGATGACTTGCTCAGATATAGCTGTTTGCACTTCAGACATGATATAGACATGATCTACGCTATAGACATAAAGATATCGGAAATTAAATTTTTTGGAGTTTCTCATTTCTGTGCTGAAATTCAGCACATGATAAGGATGTGTGTCAACATGCACTTGAAGGGACAAGCATACTGGTAATTCTGTTTTTCAGAGTGAACTGAAGTAAATCTCAAGAATGGTCTTACTTTATACTTAACACAAATATTCATATTTTAATGGAAATCAGCGCTAGTTTAAAGAACCAAACCTAGATTTTCACACCTGTGAAGAATAAATATCTATGTTCCGAAATGGATTGACAGCGATGAGAATGTCCCCAACATATGTGTAGATCTGATCCTTGGCGTAACCCTTCTGCAACTGCTCTGTTACTGTATTCTGATGGAGAAAGAATAGGAACATTGAGTCACATGGGGAAAAAAAGAATATTAGGAAAATGTATAAAATATTTATATGGTTACAATGAGTGAGGATAGAGAGGGAAGGTATTAATAGTCAGGAATACAACTGATCATGATCAAAAGTGAGTAACACTTTCAAACACACTGGCATTCCTAATTTCTTGTGTCCAAACTCACTTTGAACAATATATACTTACAGATCCCCAGGTGGCTGTAGAAAAATGAGTTAATAAGTACTGCTTTAATTCAATTAATCAAAGGTTTCCATGAGACAGTCCTGTCTTCATTTCTAACACTACAGCTTCATGTAACTCATCAAGCAAGAGCCATATGCTTGAATTCATAACTGCCATTATAGCTGCCCTAACATTACTCTCAGTTATGATAAGACACAGATCTTCAACTGTTTGGATCCTGTTAATGTAAACAATCAGGCATCTTTCTATATTAACAACCAGTCTCTGCTGTGATTGTTCTTTGCTGCTGCAGAGCCAGTTCTCCCTGAACCAAGAAAAAAGAAGAGCCCATTAGTTGCATACCCAATTTCTTGACATAATTTCCCTCAGCTTCTTCTGCATACAGAGCTGAGTATGTAAAGTGCCTGGTTAGGTTTCCAATCAAAACAGGACATAGAGCTGGGTGAAGAAATTCAAACCAGCCTTGAGACTATTCTGAGGTACATGTGAAAATATTTAGGCCCTATTCCCACTGGAACAGAATGACTGGCAGCAGAGGACTACAGAAGGAATTGCTTTCCCTCCACATCCATCTATTCACAGTGTTGTGCACCGTGTTCTGGTTAATGCACTTAAAACCTGAATTCTCAACAGCTGAAGAAGTTACATTTCCTTCACAAGAAAACATGAGGAGAAAACCTTGGTTTTCCATTGCCTTGATAAACTCTTCCCTTTTCGGTTTTGAACACTACCTTGCTTTTGGCCATAACCAGATTCACACTAACAGAATTTTTTAGGGGAACTTCTGCCCTTTTTGAAATTATTTCTTGCACCGATAGGTCTTTTGTTTTGCTTTTCTGATGGGGCTATCTAAACTGGAGGAAAAGTTTGAATGGAAGAAAGGAGACAGTTCTGAGAAGCTGCCATTCATATATGAGAGAGGTTTTAAACTGGATTGGATTTAGTACAATATCACATAGTCAAATGATGCCTTTAGATGGAGGCTTTCTGATGACTTTCCTGAGAATGGTCCACCTCTGAGGAGATAGGATATACTTCCGGCTAGTCTGTTTTTTTGTGTTTCTTCTCTTTAGCTCAGATTGTTTATATGCTTCATGGCGAAAGATAAAAACCAGTCTTGCTAGCATATGGCTATTGCCAATATTTAAAAAATGCTTAAATATGAGCTTTGTGCAGTAGATGAAGTCTGGATTAGCTCAGTTAGTATTAACTAACTTAAATAACTTAAAGATTAAGCTACTAAACCAAGCTCTTGGATAATGGAAGATGTTCTGTGGGCTGTTAGCATTATGTAGTTTACCAGCTCAAGAGCCACACTGAGTATTCTGTACTGACAAAGATACAATATACCAGAGAAGTTTTACAGATAAGAGAATGTGAATTATAGTCTATGGACAGCCTGGTAGAGGAAGAATGACAGTTTGTTTACAAATACTGATGGCCTCTAAGACCTGCAGATAATGTGCTGTGGCCTGATTCTTCTTTCTGGTTTTGAAGCTTAAAGCATAAACACAACAGACTTCCCTCCTCCCTTATGCATGTTCCCCTGCTCCTAGTGGACTCATTTTCAAACTTTGACAAACCAGTGAGATTTGTATCAGTAATTTTGTCAAAAGTTCACCAGAAGACATTGACAGGTCAGAGCCTCAGCTGACATAAATTGATCTCAATGCATCTCCACACCAAAGTAAGTCAGTGAGAACCCAGCCTAGAAGAGTATGGTAAGCCAGTTTAAGACAACTCTAGATGTCCAAGCAACAGGGGAGAAGGTGCTTGTTCTTGGACCAGGACCAATTTCAGGTTAACACATCATTGCAAACTAGAAATTTAGCTGTAATAAAATCCAGTGATATAAATCCTGTTAAGCAAATGGTGCTACGATACTGCTCAGTCTAAGGCTGTAACTGCAGAGGGTGTTTTAGCTTTGAGTTGGAACCACTTCTGACACAGCAAATCTCATCTAAAATATTTGGCAGAAACTGGTAAAATGCCATTGTACACTTACACAATTGAATTGTGACAATACAGTTGAACTTGAAAATCAACAGCACACCATTGTGTTTTAATATGTGATTAGTCCTCTTCAGGAAAACATGAAAAAGGAGGTTCTTACCTCATCCAGTACCTCCAAGGTTGCTAAATCATCTACCTCTTCCTGGTTTGAAACTAGTGACTTACTGTAGTTCCCTTTCTTTGTATGAATACGTTCAAATCTAGAAAAGAAAGACATGCAATTTCCTGATGTAAGGAAACACAGAGCAGATCTTGCACCTGTAACCATCTTGAAGGCAATTCAGCCAAAATATTCCAGCTTTCCATTGTTCTGAATTCAAACACATGAATGTTTGAATAACAGGACAGGATATAACTTCTTAGTGCGACACACCTGTACTTGACAATTCAAAATCTATGGTTTGATCCCACAACTGATACCATGAAGAACTTTTTCACTGTACAGATCCCTGCTTGATCACACCCCTACATCAGCTGCAAGACTGGAGCTATGCAGTACAGGGAAAAAAAGAACATATTTATAAAGCATATAACACTCAAACTCTGGCACCTACCTGCAAAAAGAAAAATGACCCAGATAAAAATTATGGATAGAACAAAACCAGGGGTGTATGATGAAATAGTATGGCAAGGATGATGCAGACAAAGCATTCAGGATGGAAACATTTCTAGCTTAGTAATGGCAATGCTCTAAAGCCTGGCTGAGATGGCCACACTGCAGAGCAAAGTGCTACAGAACCACTGGGGTATGTGAAATACATTCTGGCCAAGAAGAATTTTCTTGGACTTTACAAGAAAAAAATCGTACAAAATAAGGAAACAAAATTTCAAATCTTTTTCTTATCAGGCTTAAACTTCAATTAAGTTTGTCTTAAGGTGAAATTTCTTTTCTCTTTTAATCAAACCAAAGAAAACTTTATGCAGTCTTATAGAAATGAGCAAGAAAATTCCCAGAGACTTGGATCATTCTCTATCCAAGAGTAAAGGCATTGCTAAACAAAGCAAAAGCAGCAGAAAATGCAAGGTTTACAATTCACATTAGTTATACTTGCTTTATGAGATGGGGGAAAATCAGGGAAAGGGAAACTGGATAAGTAACAGCAGAGTTCACAAACTAAATCAAACTCAGATGTGCAATACGGCACAAGCACAGAAAGACTACCAAGTAAATCCGACCTCCTGATATGACCTCACTCCCCTTCATACTATAGGTAGGAAAGCACCTCTCAAACACATGGAGCGTATACCTTGGTAAACTGAGACAGCAGGGAAACTGTTTTGTGTGAAACACACTCAGGCTTTACCTTGATTCCAGACAAGACCAGGGAAAACCTTTATTTAATTTTGACATTTGGATATATGGCATGAGTAAAAGCAGACAGGTGTCTGTCTTTTTCATAGAATCGTAGAATCATAGAATTATTTAGGTTGGAAAAGACCTTTAAGATCATCAAGTTCAACCAAAAACCAAACACTGCCAAGTCCACCACTAAACCATGTCCCCAAGTGCCACGTCTACACGTCTTTTAAATACCTCCAGGGATGGGGACTCAACCACTTCCCTGGGCAGCCTGCTCCAATGCTTGACAACCCTTTAGGTGAAGACATTTTTCCTAATATCCAACCTAAACCTCCCCTGGTGCAACTTGAGGCTGTTTCCTCTCGTCCTATCGCTAGTTACTTGGGAGAAGAGACTGACACCCACCTCGCCACAACCTCCCTTCAGGTAGTTGTAGAGAGCAATAAGGTCTCCCCTGAGCCTCCTTTTCTTCAGACTAAACAACTCCAGTTCCCTCAGCCACTCCTCATAAGGCTTGTGCTCTAGACCCTTCACCAGCTTTGTTGCCCTTCTCTGGACACGCTCCAACACCTCGACGTCCTTCTTGTAGTGAGGGGCCCAGAACTGAACACAGTATTCGAGGTGCGGCCTCACCAGTGCCGAGTACAGGGGCACGATCACTTCCCTACTCCTGCTGGCCACACTATTTCTGATACAGGCCAGGATGCCATTGGCCTTCTTGGCCACCTGGGCACACTGCCAGGTCCTTTTCTGCCAGGCAGCCTTCCAGCCACTCTTCCCCAAGCCTGTAGCGCTGCATGGGGTTGTTGTGACCCAAGTGCAGGACCCAGCACTTGGCCTTGTTGAACCTCATACAATTGGCCTTGGCCCATCAATCCAGCCTGTCCAGGTCCCTCTGCAGAGCCTTCCTACCCTCGAGCAGATCAACACTCCTGCCGAACTTGGTGTCGTCTGCAAACTTACTGAGGGTGCACTGGATCCCCTCATCCAGATCATTGACAAAGATATTGAACAGAACTGGCCCCAGTACTTATCTCTGGGGAACACCACTCGTGACTGGCCACCAACTGGATTTAACTCCATTCATCACAACTCTTTGGGCCCAGGCATCCAGCCAGTTTTTTACCTGATGAAGACTATGCCCGTCCAAGCCATGAGCAGCCAGTTTCTCCAGGAGAATGCTGTGGGAAATGGTGTCAAAGGCTTTACTACTAGGTAGACCACACCCACAGCCTTTCCCTCATCCACTAGGCGGGTCACCTGGTCATAGAAGGAGATCAGGTTGGTCAAGCAGGACCTGCCTTTCATAAACCTATGCTGACTGGGCCTCATCACCGGGTTGTCCTGTGTGTGCCATGTGATGGCACTCAAGATGAATTGCTCCGTAACCTTCCCCGGCACCGAGGTCAGACTGACAGGCCTGTAGTTCCCCGGATCCTGCTTCTGGCCCTTCTTGTAGGTGGGCGTCTACCCAGGCAAGAACTTTAATATACAGTGAACAGAGGACAGGAAAAAAGAGGGCAGTTGCACCAAGATGGAAGTTAGAATGAATGAACATCATACTGATGGGGCAAGCTAAGAGACTTCTGAACTCCCACAGTAAGATTTACTGCAGAGTTTAATGGGCTGTACCTGTTCCACGAACATCACCTACTTCATGGGTGCTACTTCAGGTCATGCAGGCTGTGCACTGATATGGGATGCAGGTGCAGAAAGTCAAGCAGGCACTCAGTTGGTATTAGTTACTGATTGCCAGGACTGAAAAGGGGCTGGAAGAAATGGGAAAATGAAGCCCTCCCAAACTGTGAGTACAATCAAGATCTGAATGATGGAAGTGCAGGCATGAGTGTACGTCATCTAGCACTTCTTTCAGTTTCTCTTGTGTCTAATGATCGTTCCCTGAGGGTGACAGAATGGCCTGTCCTCACCCAGGTGCCAGTAATGGAGCAGTTTCTTCCTCCCTTAGGCAGGTGCCAGCTACCACTGGAGTCTTTCCATTGTCCACAGTGCAAACGCAGGAGTTTCACACCCACCACAGCTGACTAATTCTGCAACCTTAATATCAAGATACAAACATGTAAGACTTCATTGCAAGAGCCAGCATAGTTTCACAGTCTCTGTGCCAATATCGCAGCCCTATACCCAGTGTGGAGGCTAAGTGACCAGGAAGCACAATGAACAATATGGATCAACAGAAGCTACATTGTGCTGATGGAAGGGAGGGACCAAATCTTGCCAGTTTTACACCTGGATATTTTGCAGACTACTCTCAAACTGTCATTAGGACTCTGGAGCTGCATGGCAAAGCAACCTGCTTCCAAACGTTTTCTTTCCCTCAGTATTTACTACAGGCCAAAAGACTGATTGTAGATACAGTTGTAAGGATGACGGTGAGGATGAATTACACAGAGGTGAAAAGCAACATGAATACTACATAGCACAGTACCAGAGCCTTATTACTGCCATGCAGCACAGAACATGCAACGCATAGGCCTATTCCAACATGAGCAGCGCAAATAGACAAAAAGAGATGCAGGAGGAGTGCGTGTCTGCGTGGGGGAAGAAAGGCAGCTTTTGCTGCAATAAATCCATAACTGGGCTGTAATTGGTATGTATTTAAATATGTTGAAGCAGAAAACACACAGGAACACAAGCAGGCAGCATCAAAAGGGATGGGTCTGGTGTAAAGCAATCACACCTCTCCTAGGTCCAACCTCTTCTTCTCTTTCCTTTGGAACCCGTTTGTCCCGCGAGAGCTGTCCTGGTAATACTGTCCTTGCAGTAACACTGTGAGACAATTTTTGGTTCTATGTACCCCCAGGTTGTATTAAAAAGGATGTGGTAATATTAAGATTTAAATTAACTCTTCAGCCTTGCATGGTCTGCTGCTGCTTGATTTGCATTTACCAGCTAAAGGATATTACTGCATTCAAAGACAGAGGTGCAAGCAAAATCCTACCTCCTCAATAGAAATCTCTCCCCTCTATAACCCACACTCCTATCTATACCTCTTTTTAACAATTTCAGTTGAAAATTTAAAGATGGACATTTGAAACAATTTCTCCTTTGTTCCTGCATGAAGGTCATTTTCTGTCGAGAAGATGCATCTAATATCAGCATGACTTTGAGAAAGACCTATCAACATGCACATGAGGGAAAGATGCGGGAACTGCAGGACTATATCAAGCTCTGCTGTTCTATTTTTTTCATTGCCGAAGGAAGACCCAAAACAAGACATCTGTCAAGTTATGCTTTCCATTTCTGGTGGAATTGTTGCACATGGTTTTTTAAATGTTACTGCATATCAGTGAGAGCGATATTTCCCAAGATTTGTTTCAATTACTATTTTTCATTTAATGTAGGAAGTTAACAACTGCCTTGCAGGAAGGGAGGGGAATGCTCCAGTCATGGAGACTTTCCTTTTTCTATTATTTTCATTTTCTTTTAAGGAAACTATCTCTATTTATGCCAGGGAAGTTTAATTACATAAAACTGATTCTCCTGTAATCCTCTTCAGCTGACATTATAAGAACACTAGTGCTTGTTAAACCAGATTATGTTCTCCATTCTCAAGAGTACAGCAGAGCGGCAGATTTGCAGAACACAATATTTTTTCTGCTTTGCTGTCAAAGGGCACAGACCCCTCAAGGGCAGTTATACTGCTTCACTTACTAAAACTCCAATCACTTAAAAAAACCCGCATCAGTGCTGTTGACATCAATGCTGAAATTTCATTATAGTCATGCACAGAGACATTGTGAACTGAAATAACCATGTTTCTCTGTTCTGTTCAGAAATTATTTGTTGGAGGCATTAGATCTTACAGCCATGCTCGACAAGCAATTCAAGCAGCTAAAGGCCAGAAACATCAACCCAGTATGGACAAGAAAATGAGTCAAG